TTTATGGGACATTGAACCACTTAGGTCACCATCGGGGTATATTTCATAACATAAATCAAATACATTCCATCGTAGAGCGCATTGAAATCACACCTGTTTTATTCATATGATAAACGTAAGATGAAAGTGCGTTCTGACAAAAATGGTTATATATGTGAAACTTGAACAGTAAAATTAACGGATAATTAATTTTTATGTGGGACCTCTCTTATAAAGCTAGAAGACCCATTATGCTACGTTTACACTATGTTCCCGGCAGCCACGGCAATCACGTTTCAGGCCACCGTGGAAAAAACGGGACGGGCGTGAGAAAACTTTCATTCATTTGATGGGCAAACGTAACTCATCGCGATTGCCGTAAAATGCCTTGCCAGATTTTTAAACTGTCAAAAAATTTGCCACGGCGGCCACGTTGCAGATATGAAACTTTTTGAGTAGGTCGTAGTAAAACGGAATAAACGCAACAAAACGCGACAGCACGTAATATACCGTAACAGAAATTTTTTAGGCAGTCCGCAGAGGGACGGGAGAATGTATATTTCCATTCATCTCACGGTCCATTCACGTTCTGAGACGTTTTGCTAAGTTTAGTCCGCGTTCTGTCACGGCTAGTTCACGGTTGTTGTCCGTTTTATCACGTTCTGCCACGTTTCATCACGGTCCTCACGGCAAACTAGGGTGTATGGTAGCCGTTTGTTTCAATGCGGTTCGTCGCGGCATGTTAATATATGGTCTGCGTTGCGTTGTAGATATTGGTCTGACACGGTGCACGCGGTCTAGAGGAAGCATATAAAAGCCGGGCACTGCAGAGAAGTTTCATTATATACGAGTCTGAACAAAATCCGTCTTATTCGTCTCATTCCTAGTTGCTGCATATATAATCTCTGTAACTGCTGCTGGTTCTCTTCATTTTGACGAAGTGATTTTAGGTATGCACCCAGCAAACACGCGAAAATAAAATCTTCGTCTTGGAAATTCATGATGTATTATCTTCGAAGGGTCATGATAGAATGATTATTTCTGGTTAGGAGACCTTCTCTGGTACAAACGTGATCCATAGTTTCCCGTAGTCAATGTTTCATTTAGATTGGCAGAACGTGAGAAACGTATAAGAACTTCATAAGAACGCGAGAAACGGGGTATATCAAAACGTAAAGGCAAACGTGCATTCGTGGCAGAACCGTAGTGCGCATTGAAATCACACCTGTTTTATTCATATGATAAACGTAAAGACCGCAAAAGAACTTGTCAAAACTTGGATATATATGTGAAAATAACAGTAAAATTAACGGATAATTAATTTTTGGGCAAACGGGGATGCCGGGGCTGCCGGGAACATAGTGTAAACGTAGCATTATCAGTTCATCGTTGGTGCCTTGAAATTCACCTGCCAAAGTGATAAGAAACATACAAGAAATTTATCTTCTTTTTCCGTTTGGGAAATGATTTTATTATTTTGACATCCTCAAAATCATATTTACATCTGATTGACTTTTCAAACGAGAGGACGCGCCGATAGATCTAATCATAAAAAATCTAGCTGTCAAATATCACAATGGAAAACTCCCATAGATCCTCCTCGAGTCTGAAATTATGCTCTTTTTCCCTTATTAAAAATGAAGAAAAAAATCAAGATCCTCTCATATCACAATTCTTAAATTTTATTTGATTCTATTTTATTTTCACTTTAAAGAAATCTCGGAACTCTGTGAACTTTACTCTCTTTTGAATGTTGAATTGACATATTAATTGAAATTTTATCGTATATGCATAATTACTTTTTGATGATTTATAATGGTTATCTTTCACATAAAGCTGTTAACGATAATCCACAGGCTTTAGGTATACAAACACCGTGCACTGGTTAATAAAGGGGACTGGGTCAAATTTTCAAAAGAGCTGTATTAGATCAGGTGAAAAGTAAGGCATTATAAAAAAAAACATACAAATCATAAATTATGCAATAAATAAGGAGAAATCGTGAGTAAGGGAAAAAAACGTATGAAAAGACTTTAAATTGGGTTTTTAAAAAGAATTTAATTATACTGGCTTTTTGATATACAAGATACACGTGTGTGCTCAGCAGAGTGAGTTTTAATTTGTTTACAGTGTTGGTAGAATGACATGGTGTAAATAGTGATCTGTAATGTATCAAATTGAGTCAAACTCAGTACTTAAAAGGATAGTTTTATAAAAGGTCGTCAATATCGGTCTGCATATTTCCATGACTATAAATATCAAGCCATCATCTACTGTAATCTTTATAAAGTTTATATGGTACAGTACCAACAGACCCAACCTGACCCCCCAAACAGTCCCAGAACGCTGTCCCCGGGACTGCTCTAGATCTGTGACTGCCTTAATTGTGTCTGGTTTGGTCTTGTTGGTACTGTACTTATATGACTACGAGGAATATGCAAGATTCAAGAGAAATAAAATGATTTTGTTTGCTTTATTTTACGTACAGAAATTAGCGATGAAGTTGTTACAGAAAAGAAATATCCAACCCTCGTAAACGGGTAATGTATTTTTTTTTCCCATAATAGCTGTATTCGTTAGTTCCTGATTTATAACGAAGTTCATATTTTCGTCTGCATGTATACAAAAAAAAATTCAAAAAGGATGAAGTACACTAAATATTGTATAATTATTGTATTATTGATTTGAACGTTTATTGTTTATTTCATTGGTGGAAAAGCGCACTGCAATCATATTAAAATTTATAGATACAGGTAGTGTAAAAACAGTTCTTACCGGGAATTTTTTTTTTTCGATAGACGGATACTCGCAGTTACAATAGTAAATAAAGGAGAAAGTCTTCATGGATGCTATTAACCTTTTGTTAAAAATGGTCAGTTGAGCTCACATGTAATAACTGGACTAAACTTGGACAGTTGGTTCATTAAAGAATATGTCTTAAGCATAGAAATACATTTTGCTTGGTTATAATAGCTGCATGTCCTTTGTACAGATTTTCCCGTACACATGCACTGGCCACTTGTCACCGGTATATCTGTACTGCAATGTATACATGTATATCGCACTACCTTGAAGATTGTTAATTTGTTTACTTTAAATTATGTGTTTAATTGATAATAAAACAGTCCCGTTTGACAGTGTTGTTCATCTTTTAAGTTATATTTTTGGAATGTTTTTCTTTACCATCCTTGACCTTTGCTACACCAGTGCATACATATGCATACTTGGTGATATAAATGTTTCAATTGAAATACTGTAATCAATTCTTTAGTTCAGTAAATCAAAGCAAATTATCGTAATGCTATCTTTTAGATGTTTGACCTTCTTCCCTCAGTGAGATAGTCTGATATATACGGTATTCACAGTATAGTTTGCAATGTAATGTACATGCATCATATACATTGTACAACATATTAAAAAATATCACATGTAAACAGTCTTGTACAAATAATTATATGAAAAGACATTTAAGCTGAACCAACCTGTAGCATCTTAAAACAACTCTCAGAAAAAGATGGCAGGCTGGCTCGGCCGCTCGGCTGCACCACGTTGCTATGATGATTTTGGGAAAATGTGAAATCTTGTTGACAAACAGACCATACATTCATCATGAAAACGCTTCAGCTTCAGACATCATTACACGATTGTACATTTCCGTCAAAAAATGCAAAAGGTTGCCTTAATAAATTACTTGAATTTCACTTGAATCAAAATTATGGTTATCGTACTAGTGCGATTTTTAGAATTATTTTACAGCAAAAATTAAGTTCAAGAAATCTGGACAATGTGTTTCAATATTCAATTTTAGGTCAAAAACAGATTTAATATTTTTAATACATACGATTTAAGGAATGAAGCTTATTTCAACTTATGTTATCCGATATAACATAACTTGGGGCAGTTTACGCTTTATAAACCGCGAAGTGTTTTAGATAACGCCATCTAAATTTCATTTCTTATAATTTAATTTCAATGTATATGATATTTCCTCCAGAAAAAGGCCTAAAAGTGAGCATTATAAAAGTATCATATATATTTTTGATATATTGTGATGTAGGCAATTTATGTTAAACGAAACGGAAAAAAACGTTTAACCAATCAAATGACGCGTTCCAAGTGAAATTAAATTATATTAATATATATTCGTGTAAAAATCAAATTCATTTGCTGTTAATGTACATACTGGTGTAAGAGAGATAACCGTGATATATTATTTTCTTTAATATATATTGCTTTAAAAAGTACAGACAGTTATTATTTCTGTATGCACAAGTGTGTGTTTAAAGGGGGTTGGGGAAAATGTAGGAGGATGCACATGAAGAACATACGCATAAAACGACGAAGTCAGTTCACAGATGCATTTTTTAAAACTGTCCATGCATGTTTCTTGTCGAGTCAATGTTGTAACGAGGTAAATGTACATGTATACTGTAATTGTAAAAGTTTAAATGATAGTGCATTTTCAGAAATGGGTCAGTCTCTGTAGTTTTTGCCACATTGTAATACTGAAGTTGTAGAGATATTTTACATGTACTGCATTGCATGTAATTTGTTTTTATACAATTTAGGCCTTCTTGTGCCTTTTTGTGTTTCCATGCATTGAAAAATTAAATTCGAATATATATTTCCTTGCTTTTGTCAAAAATCCTTTTTAATATTTTTTTCCATTTTGAAGTTTTAGAAAGTCATAATTAAATAATAAGCAATGCATATAAGAAATTTGTATCTGCTACTTAGCATTTTTACTAAATAAGAAATTTAGCATTATATATTTTTATGTGCTATTTTTTTTTATGACGAGACATTTTTTACAGTCTGATTAGACATTTTTGCATTACTATTTTTGTTCTGTAAATGTTAATATTTTGTATTCTGGTCTATAGAAGCCAATTGAAGATCGAAGTCCTTTGTCCTCCCCCTTTCCCACCACAACATTTAAATCTTTTCTCAAACCAGGAAGTAAATTACAAATATCGTTCAAGTCTCGCCTCAAATATCATTTTCACATTCCAAAGTCTGTAAATAAAGTCATTTATAGGTAATTCATAAAAGGTAAGTAACAAAAACATTTTAATCATTTATGACCCGAGTGTGATGCAGTTGTGATTGGGGGGGGGGGGGGGAGGGGGTAATTAGTGATCTGAATTTCATGTGCTTCGGAGAAATAACTGTTTTAAAATCTTGTGTGAAGATATATATATACCGTATCAAATTGAAATTTCGTTGTCCATATATCCTTGCGTTACCGGTATTCGATAGTGTAAAACTTTAGTTAGAATTTTAATCTAGGCATCTATGTTTTTCTCACCTCAATTATTTATGTATTATTAGTCAACAGTAAATAAATATATTCAGACATTTATTTGTTTTTGAAATCAAGAATTTCAGTACTGTTTCAACTTTCTTTGGATCCGCCATAATCCGAGTTGTTTTTGAATGACGTCACCTATTTTCGATAGCAAGTATGGCGCACAGTTATTGTCATTAAAACATCGAATTATGTTATTTTGTGTGGATTTTTGTTTTCTTTTATTTGTTTTTGTCATTTTTTCTGGTATTAGATTAATTTGTCCTGTTTTCAACTATAATCTTAACAACAAATAAAATATACTTGATTATAAAATTATTTTTTGTTCATTTTTTGGTTGAAATTTTATAAAATTGAAATTTCAAGCCAGGAGCCATTGTCTGCAAGGAAAGCATTATCCACAGCCTTTGGCCTATAATAATTCTTGTAATTTCCCCTTTTGATGGAAAATACATACAAAAAAACGAACAATAAATCAACAGAAACAAAACTTAAAACATTAAAAGATGTCAAAATTTAAAATAAAATACCCGTAACAGGCCTCCATACTTTATTTTTTTAAGCGGAAGTTTGTTCAAAGTGAGGCTTATCTATTTTTAAGCCATAACACAGAGCTTTTTAACAGACGATAACATTTAAACATCAAATGTTGTTTTCAGGCTTAGGAGATAGGGTTTTAGAGTAAATTTTTTGGCATTATGAGAAAAGGGCGTGATTTGAATAGTTAAAAAAGAAAAATAAAATCTCATCTCTCTAAATGGCATAATTTTCGATCTTTTTGGATTTATTACACTTTTTACATCTGGTGGTAATTTTGGGATAAGAGTTCCAAAAAATTACGAAAGGTTTTCTGATTTATTGTTAAAAACATAAGTAGCAATGCCAGCGGTATAGGTGGCGCTGCGCGCGCATAATTTTGTAAACACAAGGGATTTCGACCCCGATGCACATCATGTTATATTACGCATCTTGACACCTTCCCTGCCTTCTCCTATGTTTTGATTGGTGGATATTCTGAAAGTTATGACCTTGAACTAAGTGTATAACAGCATTTTACCGGGAAAATCTCATAAGGCATTGTTAGTAAACGAAATTGAATTTTTGTCAACTACCCTTTTCAGCTTTAACGATCGAATACGCGAAAAAAGGGATGATATTCCACAAGTTTATTGTATAAACTACAGATATCAAAAGATTTCATTCAAGTATGCCCACGTAATATACTTGAAAACATTCGATAATCCATAGACCTAAATCGAAGGGACTGCCGACTTATGACGTCACAATCACTATCTTCTTGCGATTGCAGCGCCCTCACCGGGATGCATAGAAACAAACTTCCTGTAATGAAATTACTGTTGTCGCAGCATGATTTTTTGCATTCTTTAAGGAAATATCAACAAATTAGAGAAATCAATCACTTATCTAATCTTCCTTCCACGAAATGATCTCGATTTACTACTTCGGAAGTTATAACTTTACGCTGTGGAGTCGATGGAAACGTTTTAAATGCAGACATCAGCTGACCATGACGTGACATCTCTTGAATGCTGTCGATTATATTTTACGGTAGTACATGATTATCTTCTTATTTATTTTACAAAAATAATTTATTATCTTCCAATTTTTAAACAAAGACCAATTTCAGATCTATGCTGAATTGATATAAATAAATACATCGTGAACTGCCGTTTACAGATTTAGATCAACAACTTACCGGTAATAAATTGATATGTTCCCGTTATAATCACAGGCGCTTGGTTTCAGGATGGTGTATTTTGTGTATTATGCGTTTTTCTAGGTGTATCTGAGTACCCTTAAAAAATGATTTTTATATACAGTAAATATGACATTTTTAAAACGTGCTTATTTCAGCGAATTTTTATTTTAATGAGGGTACTTTGACACACCTAGAAAAACAAGCGCCTATGGTTATAATGAACTACATATGTATTTTTAAAAAGTTAGTAATTACTCTTTTAGGTTTTATTATTTAATCAGTGTTAATCTAAGATTGTCAATGATCAATAGAATTCATAACAGATTTTTATTTTTCCCCCACAAGGTTTGTAGATGATGTCTGCCTTGCACAGTGGCACCAAACCCTATGGAAAATGTTCGAGAACATGTACCATTCCATGTACCATCTGGTGTGACAAGTTAAATGTGACAGAACAATTCAAAGGGAACAAAACAACAAAAGTGGTGTGTCTATGCAAGGAGGAGTTGAACATGACTGGATTGTTTGGAAGTCCAATTTTTTCAACTATACTGTATATCCAGAATGGGATTATTATTAACTTTTGTATATCATAACTCATATACAAACTGCATCAATATAAATATTAAATACATGTAATTTATTTTGACTGGAATGAAATATTATTAAAATCATTGTTATATATTAGACTTTTCCACTTTTTTATTGATTAAAAATGTCATTCAACTTAAAACACTGCTAATTGTCATTAATTATGCATGGTTTAGAATTGTATATGAGAGTTACTTCTTTAAATTTGTGAAGGTGATTTTACAGTTTAACAAGTCATCTTTTTCTATAGTGAGCTTATATTTTGTGAGCACTGCTTTAGATATATGGCATATTAAATGTCTTTTAAAATAATTATTTCCAGTGCAATTAATCACAACTGCTAAGTACAAAATAATAATTGCTGAGCAATGTAAGCATTATAATTCTCAGTCTTCTCAACAGCTTTGAAGAACAAACACTACTAAGTTATTTTTTATATATATATACAAGTTCAATTGCCACTATGATTAAACTGTTTGATCTTTTAACTTCTGCAGTTACAATTAATGTAGCTCAAAACACACATACACTTGTAAATCTTATCATTTTTTTCTTTTCATGAAATTATACTCCCTATACCCCCTATACCTTGTTATGTAGTAAAGGAAAAGTATTCTTTTTTATTTAAAGAATCATACTAAAAATGGGATACAACTTTTCTTTCTTTCTTTTTTTTTAAAGATGCATATCAAATTTGTGAGCATAAATATTGAACTACCTTTTAGCTCTATACTAAAATTCAAACCAATAAAAAGTTTGACAAGCCAAAAAAAAAGTGTCCTTTTTGTACAAACTCGAAAATCCTATTTTTAAGGGGGGGGGGGGGCGGTAGGATCGAACTTCTTTTAGTACCAAATTTTTATCCGAACACTACCAATTATCCATTTTTTTAAAATTAAACTATATACGTGCCTGTTGAAAGGGGGGGGGGGGGGGCTAAACCCACGCCCCAATGATCAATGTCTACATTATGTATATCTTTGAAAATAAAAAGGGGGGGGGGGGCGCCTATGGGTTTGTCAAGGAATACTCCTGTTGGTTATTAATTTCTATCTCCTTATTACTCGTGTTACTGTACCTTAATAATAGGGTGCTACGTACGTCAGCCCTGGACCTGTTGCGAACCATCGGCGTTTTCATGAATCATAAGACCTTTGCTCTTTAAAAATTCCACGCAATAAATAGGCCTACTTGTTTCTTAATTAAATATGAACGTTTTTTTTCATCGAACAGCATCTATAGAGCAACCTCGCATGTAGTTTGACAACTTCTCTGTGATCATGATGTCAGAACATCAGTCATGTTTTAGCTTTTTTTACACATTCAAAAAGAAGATAAATACCTCAAAAACTGCTCAAGGAACTCTTTAGTGTATTAGCTTAAAAAAATTGGTACATTCGGCAAAAGTTTAATTCATTCAATGCTATAATATCTCAACAACGTAGATGTAAATAACGTTATCTTTGTAATACCGGATGTTTTCTATGCATCCCGGTGAGGGCGCTGCAATCGGAGGGAGATCGTATAGTGATATCTATTGTGACGTCATCGGAGTCGGCGGTCCCTTTGTTTTAGGTCTATGGATAATCTCATGTTCCCTTAACCGGAAGTTGGGTCAGAGGAAATTCGTATGTAAATCTTCGTGGCAAAATTAAACTCGTTAATGAAGTTTAAAGCCCCAAACAATGTGTAGAAAGTATTGCAATGTATATTTTGCTGTATTACACATGTGAAGACATATTTTTAATATTATCTGTAAGAAAAATCACGACTGTCAGTGCTAGGAAAGACCGTCAGTACCACTAAAGAAATACAATATACGTAACTATGCAAATAATAAGGCTATCTATGAAAATAATCTTTTTGAAAACTTTAAAATAAGTTGATCATCTAAAAATTCTCAAACAAAATTCCTAGATACGAGTGATGTGAATATGTTTACATTGTCGTAAGTAATTCTATGTATTTGTTTATGTATGTTATGTATGTATTTATAAAAAAAAAAATAATGTACAAGAATTTTTAGACCAAAAATTTTGAAATGCTTTAAAGATGGCACTTAGTGACTTACTAACTTATAGATTATTTTTTTGGGGTAAGTTTTCATTAAAAATTCTGTTCAGAATTCTTTGAAACTAGTAGTTCTTTGAAACATGGTGGATACAGTTTTCTTAATTTTCATTCTTTCTGAGTGATTGCATTTGATCATTTTGTTTCAATTTTCAGCAGAGATTCATTTAAATAACACCACCATTTTATTTTATAAATGACTTGGAATTGCTCAGTAATCTCATTTAATGTATGAATAGGGGATGTAAGCTATTATATATAGCTAGTGTGCTAAACATTTTTAACTGGGAGAAAAAGCTTAAAATTTCGAGGTACGGTATGTTGATTTTCAACGTTGTACTGGGGTGGTATTTTTGGTTAATAAACATTTTTTTTCTGTTCCTTTGTTATTCAAATAATAAGTAACTGTAACATTTATTGCTTAAAAAATCTTCTCAATTTTATTACCTTTTAATTGAGATGGGAAAAAACCCTATAAATCAACTCATACACTTATGTTATTAATACAACTCGTTGGACTTATCTATGTCATGCTCATATGCTATAAGTAAAATGTAATTAAGATTTCATGGATATAAAGGCACATTCTATACATTGATCATGTTGAAATATAACACAAAACTTATTATTACTGTGAAATAGTAGCTGAAACTTTAAATATGATTTTAAGCTAAAATTTGGTTTCTTTTCGTTTTACGCTTTGTTGAAATTGTCGTATTTATCATGGTATTGACTGTCCCATAATTGATGAGTAATTTTTATTCTTTGTCTTAATTATTAGTAGAGACATATATCTATCACCTAGAAGTCATAAAATGTAGAAAATTGATTTTTTTAGTTGTCAACTTGAGTGGGGTTGCGTTTTGCTGGTTTTTGTAATTTATCTGTTTTTCATATTTCACAGGGGTGCCGTACTAAAACGTCTGTCATTTTATTAAAAATTGTCGTATCAAGTTAATTTTTTCTGTTTTGACTTTTAAATAGGCTGTAAAAAGCACCCACAACAAGAAAATTTAAAAATTTTCATTTTAAAATTTTTGTCTGGCATTGCTAACATAAGCCTATCGAAATTAGGATACTATCGAAAATAGGTTACGTCACAATACTTATATCATATTATTACTCCATGTATCGTAGAACTCATTTCAATGATTGTCTTCTTTATTAATAGTTTGATCATTTTCAGATGGCGTTATCTAAAATGGATATTCCTCACACAGCCCAACACTTTTTAGAATGTGGCATTGAAGAATGTGAAAGAAACTGTGAATTCTATTGCAACCCTTGTCATCAAAGATTGTGTAAACAATGCAGCGAGGAACATCTGAAAAGTCCAGAAAACAGGAACCATGAGGTGGTCCTTTACCAGCAACGCAAACGACAACTTCCTGTGGAGAAATGCAAGATCCACCCCACTAAAGATGTGGACATGCTCTGTGAAGAATGTCAAGTTCCAGTATGTTCCAAATGTGCCACACAAAAAGAGCATCGCGGGCATACATTCACTGATCTAGAGACAATTTATGCAGAAAAATATGCAGATTTTCAAGCGGAAATTTCCAAGATAGAAGACTACTTTCTACCCACATCACAAGATTTACAGAAAGAAATCAAAAAAGATTCCTCAGAAATCAAACACATCATGGACAACATCAGAACATCTATGAAGTCTGAAGGTGAGTCCCTGAAAAGACTGGTGGACACAGTCATATCTGAGAACATGAAGCAGTTAGACCAGATAGAGCATTCACTGTTAGAAGATCTAAACACCCAAGACAAGACCATGGAGGATTACATCACTTATCTTAATAACCTTGTCAAAGAGCTCCACAGATGCCTGTCCTCTACAGAAACCCAGAAATTAATGTCTGAGAAGAAACCAAAGATCCAATCCATACCAGAGACAACAAAACCAGTCACACCAGGATTTACTGCGGGTCAATACAACAAAAGTGATGTCACCAAATTACTTGGTAAAATACAGATCCCCAATGCTAAAGCAGAGAAGAGAGAAATAAGGTCCATTGAGAGTGTCTACAATACAGCAATGAAACCTACACATAAAGAGATGAAAGAAGATAGAAAGAAATCTGACAAGAAACAAACATTGTCTCTATCTGCCTCTGTCACCAAGGTCAGGGAGTTCAATTTACCAGGTGTTGATGGTGTATTCCATGTATCACTAGATCAATCAGACAGACTCTGGATCAGTGACAGTAATGGTAATCTTGTCCAAACAGATCTACAGGGGAATGTGACACAGAAGATAAAAACCAGTGGTGGACGTGGTTACCACACAGTCACACGGGATGGGGATCTAATCTTTACAGACTACAACAAGAAAGTCATCAATAGGATAACAAATGGTAATAATATCACTGAATTCATTGAAACTGGAGACTGGAGACCACTCAGCATACACTCCTCCCACATCAACGGGGACTTACTGGTGGGAATGGTTGGTAAAGTCACCAGGTACAACAAGACAGGAAAAGAACTACAGAACATACAGAGGGATAACAAAGGACAGCAACTGTATAGAGCACCACACTACCTCACTGAAAACATCAATGGAGATATCTGTACATCAGACTATGATAAAGGAGTAGTGGTGGTGAATAAATCAGGACAACACAGGTTCTCCTACACACGTCAGAAGTCATTGTTCTATCCCTATGGAATCTGTACTGATGTCCTCGGTCACATCCTGGTGTGTAATGAATACTTGTTCAGTAACACTGTTCACCTCCTTGATCAGGATGGTCAGTTCTTGTCTCTATTACTCACAGAACAACAAGGGGTAAAGTATCCCCGTAGTATGTGTGTGGATGATGAGAACAATCTCTATGTGGGACAATATGGCTCCAACACACTGACAGTGTACAAGTATCTACAGTGATTATTTGTTGTTCAGTGTTACATGTAACAAAACACTCACAGTATTATACATGTATATGTGTATATGTATATATTAAATCAAAATATACCCATATTTTTATTTGCTTTCTACACAAATCATGACATTTGTAATTACTTTATAAAAACAATAATTGTATAGAATTGCATTTATTTAGTTAAAATACATTTTATAACTCACTTATTAATTTATGGTATTTTACTAAGACTTAGTGTATATATATTTCAACAGTTTTACCATGTGTTATGTTGATATTTCAATACAATATCTGTCACCTATGAAATTATTAGATTTTAAAATAATATATACTGTTAGAATCATTCATAATTATACACAACTTCAAACAGGTAGAATGAGATCAGATTGCTTTTTTTTGTTAACAAAGTTTTGGAGTATTACAAATCTTTATATAAACATTTTAATAAATTAAGATATTGTTTAATATTAATATTGTCTGTGTAGCTAGTGGATTTACAGGCGTAGATCTAGAACTTTTTAAGGGGACGGGGTCGCAGAGGAAAAGAATTCTCTTAATGTATGTTTACATATATTTAGTTAAACAAAATAGGATACAGGGATGTAGTATCGGTCGTTTTTATTAAAAGTGGGAGAGGGTCATGCAGCCTGGTAAAAATGGATACCTGAAAGTTTTGACGAAAGGGGGGTGCTATTAATTAAGGGGGGGGATGTTTTTGCAACCAAATTCCTTCTCTAAATTTTAAGCAAAAAATCCAAAGGGGGGGGGCATAACCCCCCTTCTCTGTTTCCGTCACTGATTTAGCTACTAAAGCATTAATTCCAAGTATTGCATAAAATATATGGCGTATATACCAGGTAATTCATTGGCGGATACAGGACTTGTGATTAGGGGCGTGGATAACTTTGTTAAGGCAAGGAGTCTGGGGGCTGCCCCAAGGCCCCCAGTGGGTCCAGGGCAAAGCCCTGGTAGGGGTTCAGGGGGCGAACCCCCGGAAGCTCCTGGATTTTTGTGTATTTAAAGAGTAAACCCAGTCACAAGAACAGTGTGTACTTTTCATTTATTTTTGTTAAATTAAAAAGTGACATAAAGGCCCAGATGTTTGAATTATATTGCACTGAATGTTTCTCCTTGTATTGTATCATAATAAGACCGCGGAACATTAACTGGCAAAATTGGAAATATACATCTTACGTCATTTCTATCTGTTACAATCAAAACATTCAGTGATAGACAATAAAATGGGCGGGTACAATTCGACGCGGACGTTTGGAAAACAATGTCGGATTGAAATTGCAGATCGAAATTCATTTTCAATCCACCTCAGCTACGCTAGAAGGCACATTATTACTGATTGACCCAGAAGACAAATAATTTCAATTTTGGTACAGTTTGAATTTTTTTGTCCAGTGTTTTAAATAAATAAATATTTAAGGGACAAATATTTCATTTCTGTTTGGTAAATATATGTATATCTTTGTGTTGGTGGTGGTGGGGGGGGGGGGGGTTGAACGATTTTTAAATAAAGTTGTCCAACAGTTTTCAGTGAAAATAAGTATAAAACTCATGCACTCTTATAATCCTAGAAATAAAATATATTGTCATGTTAATTAAACCATGACTTGACTCGACAATTTTTTACCCCTCCCCCCTTCTAGAATCAAATATCTCCTGAAAAATAATCATTGTCTTTCGCGTTCTTAAAATTATAAGCTAAAACTCATATTAATGTGAACTTCAAACAATATGTATTTGGGAGTTGAAATATAGTTGATTTTTGGATCATACATTCACTCTTTGCTTTGAAAACAGCTGAGGTGGATTGAAAATGAATTTCGATCTGCAATTTCAATCCGATGTTTTCCAAACGTCCGCGTCGAATTGTACCCGCCCATTTCGTTGTCTATCACTGAATGTTTTGATTGTAACAGATAGAGATGACGTAAGCTGTATATTTCCAATTTTGCCAGTTATACATTCCACTATGAATAATAATAAACGATATACTTACTTACTAATCGTGATATTGGTTAACTATGTACCAAAGTACAGCATTATTTAAATCTAGTGATATCATACTTTGAAAATTTTAGGGGGGGTTCCACACCCCCCCCCCCCACACCCAACCCCCCCCCCCCCCACCCCCTTAAATCCGCTAGTGTAATTATCTTCTATTGTAAGTCCTAGTTTGATGCAACATATTTCAGCAACTTTTTATTTATTTAAAAGTTTTAGAAGGAAAACGAAAACAATATTGGGGATTATATGTACCGTGTGTTTTTCTCACTTCAAACGCCTGTATCCGTGTATCGTGTGTTTTTCTAACTTTCTTTCAAACACCAAATTATGTGGCAATACTGTATCGGTCTGATAAATTCATAATTCAATTAAAGTTTAAAATCTTAAGAAGCTGAAGTGAAATTCTAGAATTTTGCTCGAATGAACTTGAACATTTTTTTTATTTTTTAACATTGATTCCGGAGTTATGTACTCTATCGACAGAGGGATCTATGATTATGTGGCATGTATGATTTCCTGTTATTGAAACCGGTTTTAAACTTTTTTTGTGTCATGTTTCCAGCATGTTCAGCGTCAATTCTGATTTAAATCAAGATAATGCCATTAACGAAATGTAAGTTTGCAATTCACTAGGTTTGTATTAGTATGATAATTACATCTGGATTTTATTTTTGTCCTTGAAGTCAAGTTGTTACACGTTTTTGGTCAAGCGGTTTGCTGTTTCACTAGTGGGAGGCATTTGATTTTGAAGTCTGGTATTTTAGTGATATTTGTATTCAACAAATAAGGGATATCTAAATAACATCTACCTAAACAAGCACTTAGCAATTTGTTTGATAATCTCAGCGAGATGGGTAGAGACTGAATATTTGGTCTGACGTCAGACCAAATATTCAGTCTCTACCCATCTTGCTGAGATTACTTTATTTAGCTTTTTCAAGGTAAGTTTTCAAAAGTTTTTTTTTTATTAAAAAGAGACAAAAAGTTGCAATTAAATGACTATTGATATTTAAAATGGGGAGGCTTTAAAAAGCAATTCAAAGCATAGATAGTTTATACAGGTCCGGCACAATCTCTTGATTAAGCTACATATAGCATATGTATATGTATATAGCTTTAAAAAGCTATTCGAAATAGCTTGATAAAGCTATTTATATGCAATTTTTCACGAAAACGTTTTCTGAAAGAAATAAACAAAAAGTCGCAAATATTTGACTATTCATATATGTACAATGGACTATCAAAAAAACAACCTAAATCATAGAAAGTTCTAACATTGCTGCTGTTGAGTTCTTTTAATCAAAATAAGAATTCCCATTGTTTGAGTAACTGTGTGTGCGGTGAGGCGTGGGTAAGTATGATTGCTTCTCATTGTGCTGAACTGTTACTAATCAATTATCCTGTTGGCCATAACTGGCCTTTCTTATATTTTCATTCAAGAAATAACTGTGTGGTCACTCATCAATAGCCCCAAAACTGTTAAAACTTTGAGTTCAAAGTCTCTCAAGGAGACGTAATTTGGTGAGTGAATTTTACATGCATTGTATTCAGAAGAGTACAAAATTTATTGTTATACCTTTAAAAATGTGTTCCTATACAAATCTTTACAGAAAAAAAAACAACATTTTTAATGTTTTGCTGAGCGGGCATAAAAAAATTGATGTTGGACCGCTGAGTGAGATGTTGGACCGCTCGGAGAGATGTTGGACCGCTTACGTCACAGAAGGGGCGGAGCTTAATCTCATTTTCTTTCGTTGGTGTTAAACAGTGACAGATCTGATGTTACATTACGGAATATAGTACAAAATACATGTACCGGTATGTCAAAAAAAAAATGAAATGAAAGGTATAACAAAACATTTATTGACAGAGTTCTCGGGCAAAATGCGTTTTGTCGGACCCTCGAACCAAACTGTCTGCCTTCGGCCTAACGGCCTCAGGCAGACAGTTTGGTTCTTGGGTCCGACAAAACGCATGTTGCCCTCAAACTCAGTCAATAAATGTATAATATTTCCACTGCACCAAGGTGCGACTTTTTGCACATGTTGAAAAAATAACACATTTGAGAAAAAAGTCTGAGAAAATAGCTTAATCAAGCTATTCTGAATAGCTTAATAAAGCTATATAGCTAAATCAAGCTATATAGCTTAATCAAGAGATTGTGCCGGACCTGTTATACATTGCTGTGTTTGGACAATTTAGAGCAAAACATGTAATTCCATTGTTTGGCTATCTGACCATACTGTGAGGTGCGGCGCGTCGATTTACCCAAATGGACCCAAATGAACCCAAATGGACCAAAATGGCGACCCAAATGGACCCAAATGACGACCCAAAAGGACCCAAATGGCGATCCAAATGGACTTCTGTAGACTTTATATCAAAACTAGAATGTATCAATACACTAAAAATAAAATTATTTATTTTTGCACTTAGATAAAAAATATTGTTGAATATTCAGAATAAATGGAATAAATGCTGTTAAATGTGTCTTATGTTACAAACATTCAGATTATTGTATAGGAAAAAAATGCGTACTCTAAAGCGAATTATTTTAAAATATAACAGTTTACCAATCGGAAAATGTCACACAATTATATTCTTTTTGAGTAAATCAGGCACGTAGCAAGTTGGGGGGGGCTTGTTCCTTGTTCCCCATACAATTTTCCAGATATAACTTTTTTACTATATTGAAAATGTTCATCAAAAGGCCGGTCCCCCCCCCCCCCCCCCCCCCCCCCCCCCCACACACACACACATACACTTTCAAAAATGATGCTTCATCACTATAAATAATTAATTTATTAATTTTTATCACAATTAAGTCCATTTGGGTCGCCATTTGGGTCCATTTGGGTTCATTTGGGTCCATTTGGGTAAATCGACGCACCCGTGAGGTGCGGTGAGGCATGACTGAGTATGATTACTTCACATTGTGCTGAATAATTACCGACCTATTATTGTGTTAACCAGAACTGGACTTCTTTGTCATTTCATTCAAGGAGTAACTGTTCTAACTGTCATACATAGCCCCAAAACTTTCAGAACTTTGGTTGCAATTGCGCAGAAAAAGACATTTTTGCAAGAGGGATTTTTTCATGAGTTGTTTTCAGATGAGTTCAAAGTTGAAAATGATCATTGCATCAAAATGATATTGTCTGCACACCCTGAGAAAAATGCTTTTTAAGAGAAATAGATCAATGTGGTAGCTAAATAAAGCTACCTCAGGTAAGTAAATAAAGCTATGTAGGTAAATCAAGCTACGTAGCTAAATCTAGTGATTGTACCAGACCTGACAAGTAAAGCTTTGACTATCAGGTCCAGGAAAATCACTATATAGCTGAATCTACCTATATAGCTTTATTTACCTACATGATATAGCTTTATTAAGCTATTTCAGAGTAAATTTCTTTTTTATGAAAAGCAGAAAAAAGTCGCATAATGAGGCAATATTAGTTTTCAACTTTGAAATGGACTGAAAACAATTCACCAAAAACCCACTTATAAAAATGTTTCTCCTTTTGTGCAATTGCAATCAATGATCTATGTATAACAGTTAATCTGTGAGTAAGCAGATACTTTAACAAAGAAAAGCAGTTTTCGTCAACAAGATAATTGATTGGAATAATTAAGCTCAATGCAAGTCAATCACACTCACCACACTTCCAGCTATCCAAACAATAGAGAAGCAATTTTTGGTTTAAAAGTGTTTAAAAGAGGCAATGTTTTTACTAGCTATGCCCTAGGTTGTTTTTATCAAACCTTTTAAAAAAATATCAGCCATGATTTACATGTGACTTTTTGTCTGCTTTTCATAAAACAGAAACTTATTCCAAAATAGCTAAATAAAGCTATATCATATAGTTAAAAAAAAGCTATATACAGGTAAATTAAGTTATATACCTAAATATAGTGATTTTCCTGGACCTGGTGTATAGCAGTGTACAGGTCACATACACTTGATTCTGTAATATTTTTTATTAAACCTATTATTGTATAATGATAACACAAGGTATTCTACTCCAAGTTACCCCCTCCCCAGAATAGAATGGCACGCCAAATTCACAAAAATGAGCCAAACATAGTTTTACAGTTGATAAACTAGGTTTATTGGTTGTAAACTATAGTTTATCGTTTGTAAAATACTGTTTACGGACTGTAAACTATAGTTAACAACGTTTCTCTTTATTTTACATATGTTAACTATAGTTAACGTGATAATCTATGTTTCAGAACCGTAAACTATACAAGATAAACAATAACAGTTGTCCGATTGCCCGGGACAAATAAATCATCAGTTTGGGCAATTGAAACCATCGATGAACTTGTCCAATCAGGCAAGTGGATATCTCTGATAGAAACATTTTTTAAGATCTTACTTAAGGTTATAAACAACACAATGAATTGAACAGTTGATTTCCGCAAAAACAGGACACAGTTTTTGCATGTGGAATACATCAGAAGTGTTTCTGGATCATACCTGTACCTTTATTTACTAATTTAAAATCAGGTTCGTTATTCTGTTTTCTTTTGTAGTTTACAAAAAATTCACTCTCCGTCTGACAACTTTTTATGAAATATATATGATAAAATAGTGTATTAAATTGCATTAATTTTTTGCAGAATACAAAGAACACCAATTGTTCTCGATGCATGATGCATCTTGATTCAAAACATGGTAACTGTTTTCCTTTAAGTGTGACCTCAATATGGAAGGGGGGATTAAATTTTCTAGAAAAAAATGTAAGGAAATATTGCTGTTAAATTGTTAATTATAGTTCACGGTTTATCAACTGTGAAACATCAAAACGCCAATATAGGCCAAACTTAACACCCCACTGAAACAACCTGCTACATGGTATGGGTTAAATGTTATCTCTGAAACAAGTGCCTGTGATACAGGTCCATTAATACAATCACTGTGTACAGCAGGTCTAGCACAATTTCTTTATTTAGCTGTATATGTTTTTACAATTTCTGTTATGTGAAAGTGAGAAAATTGCAACTCATGTCCTTTTTTGCATTAGGATTGATTTCTACTTTCAATTTAAGAAAACGAAAATAATTATCAAATTATACAAAGTATGGAACAACATTCACCATTTAAAATAATTTTCTTTCACTCTGTCCTTTTTTTTTCTAGGTAAATTAACCACTCTAGCATGTAATCCACACATCTACATCTTCTCTACCCCTCAACTTTCTGAGATCTCTACAAATTCCTGAGGATGGAGACTCGAGTGATATACTCCGTGGTTGTCGTGGTGACTGTGGCGTTGTGCTACTACAAGGCCCTGGGGTGTGGCTTTGTTTTCGATGACATGTCGGCCATTGTGGAGAACAAGGACCTCAGACCACGGACTCCAGTAGTGAACCTCTTCTGGAACGACTTCTGGGGGACTCCTATGAGAATGGTACGTACGCAGACCGGATCTTTTATACCAATGATCCCCTTTTATGATGTCCTTAAAAAACATGGATAGTGGATACATGTAGTGGAAATATGATTATGTGATACTGATGATTCCGTATCTTAATAGCCTTAAAAACATGGATAGTGGAAACTTGATTATTCCCTATCATAATAACCTTACAAGACATGGATAGTGGAAACATGATCATGTGATACTGATGATTTCCTACATGTATCATGGTACCTTTAAAAGACCAAATATTACATAAATAATTTAGGAGTATTTACGATTTTCAGCTTATTTGCCGTCTGCTATTTTTTGAAACCACAGGAAGTCTTTCTATATACCTGTCAATTTATAACTATAATAATATGTTATGCAAAGAAATTTTGAGTACAAATATCAAATTTGACAGTCATCAGTTTATTAAAATTTGCATATAAACCTTTTACTGAAATGACTTGTAGGGGACTCCTCCAATGACAATGGTACTTGGGAACTTGATTATGTGATACTAATAATTCCCTATCATTAAAGATCTCAAAGACCCTTCAAAGACCAAATAGCTTAATTTTACATGTCCATCCTGTTAGAAGTCCACTCTCACCTGAGTATTATGTATCACATTTTAGAGTAAATCAAAGACACAGTTTTCATGGGGATCAGCTTTTTGGCCTGGCACAGAATAATTGAATTTTTATAATATGTTCACACACAGTGTGAGAAAATAATAAAAAATATGGTTCTTTTTTATATATGAAATATACATTTGCATATTCAAGATGGAGCTATAATTTTTTTTAGTCCATTTGCTTAATGAACATGCATGTTTATGTGTTAACTTATGTACCTATCTTGAGCTTTAATAACACTAATATTTATTAAGTTGAAATTGTCTCTCCTGTACTATTTTTGTTTTTCCAGGAGAAGAGTCACAAGTCGTACAGACCTCTGTGTGTTCTAACGTTTCGAATGAACTACGCAGTCAGTGAACTGGAACCAATGTCTTACCATCTAGTCAATGTCGTCCTCCATGCCATCATGTGTTTGTTGTTTATGAAGTAAGTTGTCCACAACACATACCATGGAATCTCCATTGTTCATGGGGAGTAAATGTTTGACAAGTTTACTGGTTCATCAGGACATAATTTTGTGGGTAAATTAAGGTTGTCTCCAAGACCCCTTGAGCAGGGAATATCCCCCTATAATGATGTTGGTTATTCTGGTATTACTCATGAACCCTCTTTTAGGAGAGGAGGCCCAAACCCCATCTTTCTTTACAATGTCCTCAGCTATTTCAATTCTTAAGAACAACTCTAATAAACTGTATATTTTATCAAGAAAGATAACTCTACTGTGCTCTATGAAAAATATATGTTTCAATGTTTGTGGGGATGTAAAATCATTAAGGGTTTACAATGATATCCACAAACATTGATCCCTCATGAACAACGATTCCCGAGGGTGTTGTAAAGCCGAATGTCAGTAACATGAACATTATATGCAATGTGTATTTATAGATATGGACATTTAGAAGTTATTTTTATCTATATATATCTAAATGTATCTTTGTTTTTTCAGAGTTTGTAACATGTTTTTGAGAGAGTTAACCAGTTTTATAGCAGCCCTGTTGTTTGCCGTTCATCCTATCCACACTGAAGCAGTAAGAAAACATTTCTAAAAAATCTTGTTGCAAATATAGTCACAAAAATTATATTTGGTCCAAAAATAACAATTAGTTACAGAAGTCAGAGAACAGTGTGAGAAAATTGCTCTTAACCTTGTACTAGAAATGATATAGACTGAGTACAGTAAAACTCAGTTATAACCAAGTCATGGGGACCAATACAATTACTTCACTATATCCGTAATTCGTTATATCCATATAAGGAATTCGTTAAATTTATATAGCTGTGGATCTAAAATAACTTGGCCATATCCGTGAATTCTCTATATCCGGGTTCGTACTAAACGAGTTTTGCTGTATTTTTAATCCAATTTATGATTTATTGATTTTCACAAAACTTCATCTGTTGGTAGTTTGTTACCATGATAGTTTAATGTTGAATCGATTCTCACAAAACTTTATGTGTAGTCAATTGTTTCATTGATTTATGTTGAATCGTTTTACACCAAACTTTATCTGTAGGTAGTTTGTCACCTCAGTTTTATGTTTGAATCGATTTTCACCAAACTTTATCTGTGTAGGTAACTGGAGTGGTGGGGCGAGCTGAGGCATTGTCTTCCATATTCTTTCTGGCAGCATTAATCACGTATTCCAACTGTACCTCATATCACGGCAAAATTAGTGAGTACTCCTCACATGTAGATTGATGGCAGTTTAAAAAGGTATAACAGAATCAAGTTTAAAATATTCTGTTTTTCTTCATATAACATATAGCGGGTTTTCTTGGCGGGTGTAAAATTTGGCGTTTTGCCTGTATGCTCAAAGGTATGCCAATAATTTTGGCTTAATTTATTTTAGCAGAGGCAGTGTTTCAACTCTTTACAAATGAACACTAAGAAGTGTTCTGAATATTTTAGTCATTAAATTTTTAGCGGGATACCATCAAGACACTAAGATAATTAAGCCAAAATTAGCACCATGCTAAAATAACCCGCTATACCGTAACGTGTAGTCAATTCTTGTAAAAATGAATTCAAACATTGTCTCTTGAAAAAGTTTTATTACACAGGAGACTGTATTTACATAATGAAGTTTTTTTCATTCTATCTGAATAAAAATTTATGATAGCTAGCATTCATTGAAAACTTCTACCATAAACCCAAGTCTTAAGAGAATTAAAATAATCATGGCATATAAACTTCAACCCACTGTTAGCAATGTGCAATGGATGATCAACATTTTAAATTTGTGATATGTAAAATTCATTCAATTATTTAGTTCACAGCATATTTTGAAACTTCAGGGCAATGAAAATCACTTTGCTGCGAGACTGCAATCATTATAAGTGTGTTTGCTGTGACCTTGTTTTATTGTAGCACATTATTAAAACTCTCTATCATTGTAAAACATCCAGTTATTATTTCACGTCTTTTTTAGAGTGGCCTCCCTTGATAGGAACCGTGGTACTGGTTACCATAGCGATGTTGTGTAAAGAACAAGGGATCACTGTTATTGGAGTGTGTTGTGTGTATGAAATATTTGTGGCTCAAAGAGTAAGTCAAAATTTGCCTTAGTTCACAAACAAAATAGATTGTCATATTAACCTGCCTAAGAGGAGGAAAAAAAATGAAAAAAAACAAACAATGGTTTTTCAGTACACTGTAAACCAACTATTACTTGCACCATTCTTTCGGGATTTGTCAGTTTGACATCAATCTGCAACGATTAATTTTTATGACTGGGGAGCCTCTTCTACAAATAAAAAGCATAATGGTATACAACTTTTTGTAAGATAGCATGCACAGCAGTTTTAGCAAGACTTGAAAACTTAACCTGTATTGAAGGCACTTATTATCACAGTTCATTCATTATTAACTATTAGCAGGGACCTATATACTAACGGGATAGGCAACTCCTTCATCGCCATGTTTATATACCCAAAACATCACGCACAACACTACAAGTTTTTCAATTTACGTTTATTCCCAATAAACAGGATGCTTTCTGATTATAATCATTTGTTCCTTTTATGTATTGGAATTGATTTATTGATAAATTTTAAAGCAAAATGATTTAATAATCCAAATATAAAGAAAACAAACACCGAAATCGGCGATTTCTCGGAAATATGGCCGATCGGGGCATGTGCTAATTTTGCATAAAACAAATTTACTACTAAGATAAGGAGTATAATACGTGCTTAAAACGAATCTTGAATGCTTTTTTGACAGATATTTAATTTAAAAGGATTTGATCTCAAATATGCGATAGCTTTAGAGATATAATTAATTAAATTTGACTTATGAAATCCTGCGACTTAAAAGATATTGCGAGACTTGCTGTAGTTGCCTATCCCATTAGTATATAGGTCCCTGCTATTTAATAAGGTAATTTGATGTCAATGTGTCCATGTTTTTCTGTTTCATTTTATTACATTTTATTCTCCAACAGGCATCATTCCAAGAGCTCTTAGCCATTTTGGGAAGCTTTATCCGAGGGAAGCCACACATTCCCTCCTGGTTAAGGAACTCCATTGTACGTGCCATATTTTTAGTTGGGACGACTGTCTGTTTACTGATGGCCAGAATTAAAGTTATGGGGGCCCAGCTTCCAGTGTTCACCAGGTAAAAAGGGAAATTGTTGCACATATGACTTCGAAATTCAAATTATATGTATATGGTAAAGCTTGATCAACAGAGTTGTTAAAATTCGAAATATCAAACATCTTGAATTGACGGAAAAGCATGTACGGTAATATATCTATCATGGCTTTTTAGATATCAGTGTAAAAATAATTTTTAGACTTTGTTGATGTTTGTATTAAAATGAAATGTTTTGACATTGGTTTAGGAAATAGAACACTTTGTGTATATAGCCGTCACATTATTTGATATAAATGAAAATAGGTTTATGAATACTTTAGGAATTTTGAAATTTAAACAAATTCTTGCCTCCAATTTCAGATATGATAACCCAGCTTCCATGGAGAACACTCCAGTAAGACAGCTGACTTATAACTACCTGCTGCCAATCAATGCTTGGCTCCTCCTCTTCCCCTCAGGGCTGTGTTGTGATTGGACGATGGGAACAATCCCAGTGATCAGTTCTATACTGGACCCCAGAAATCTTATAACTCTGGCATTTTATGCTGTTTTAGGGAAATTTATACTTTTTATGCTGCAAGGACAAGATAAGAGAAACAGGGCCATAATCATGGTAATATAATCTAAACTGCTTCATGAGTTTTTGTTTGACCAAGCTCATCAAAATTTTTACCAGACCAAGTCTAAATGTATCACTAAAGTCAATAATGATATAAAATTTCCTTTGGGTACAACAAACTTAAAAAAAAAATTTTAAGGATAGAGAAAACTGAAAAATTTGTCCTTTGAAAAACTTCCGATTATATCTTGAATGTACATTTGTAAAAACAACATTGAAATGAAAATTTAGAAAATAAATTTGTTCTGTATACATTTGTGGGTGTATGGATAAATGAGAAAAGTAGCCCCTAATGGAAGTTTGCTTTTTTCTATAATCGAACTTTCATTTTCAATTTTTAAATATGAGACACTGATCATTTCCTGAATCTTTGTTTAGCCATATAGTTAAGCATGTATGTACTTCTGATCAGCTGATGTATTCACAAACCACAAAAGTTAATCATTCATAACTTCTCCTACCTTTATAGTTTCTTGTAATGATTCTTGACCATTTGTTGTAACTTTCCAGAGTTTTTCTCTGCTGATCCTCCCGTTTATCCCCGCCTCTAACCTGTTTTTCCCCGTGGGGTTCGTGGTGGCGGAGCGGATCCTATACACCCCCAGTATGGGCTTCACCATGTTAGTGGCTCTAGGGCTACAGATTCTGATGGACAACAAACAGTAAGACCAGAGGGCTGTGTACTTATTTTATATTTAAAAGAAAATGATGAACTTTTGATTCTGAGCATCACACTGTAAATATGTATGAAAATTAAATGCATACATTACATGTATACATTATATGCATACGGGAAATACATTTACAGAAACTAGAATCTTGTATCAATGTCAGAAGGACTAGTTACCTCCCTTTGCAAAATTTGTCAACTCTTATAAAAATAAAAAAAAAATTGTCCCTACATCTTGTTGTATGTGAATATATCCAATCAATAATTTTATCTCCTTTTTAAATTTTTTCCCCCCAGGAATCTTAAGCCATTACTCTGGGCTATGTTGGGGATGCTTCTTTTTACCCACAGTCTGAAAACCTTCGTAAGGAATGGAGAATGGTAAGAAGTTAATATTACAATGTACATTTGTTTATTTCATTTTTTTAATTTTAGTACAGATCATTTACATTGTAACATTTTTTGTAAAAATATATCATAATAGAATTCATTAATTACAAATTTAAGTATGTTTTGAACTTATACCAATTTTATGTGGGATATCGATTTACATGTGCATATAGGTAAAAACATGCACAGATGTGCAAATTTTATAAAACATGCTGAGAATTGACAATATTAATGATGCATGTTACATAAACTATTTACTTTTAAAAAGCAAACTAATTGTTACTGAAATGGTGTTTTTTTTTTTCTTCATGAAAAAATTATTAATATGAATCAAGATATCCTATTGAAATCTGATTCAGATAAAATTTTAAAGTGTTTTATTTTATACTTGCAGGGAGTCCGAATACAGCATTTTCAGATCAGCATTAAAAGTCAACACCAAAAATGCCAAACTATTTAACAATGTGGGACATGCGTTAGAGAAGTATGAGAAATATTCGGAGGCCTTGGAGTACTTTGAGAAGGCTGTCAGGTTTGTAATGGGTGTCAGGTATTCCCTCCCAGCTTTTATGGAGGGAATGCAAAGGTGTCTCTTTGCTTCAAAGCATGAAAATAAATCAATTAATTCATATTTTCAAAGTCCAAATTTTTAATGAATTCTAGTAAAAAGCAAAATTTTCCAAATTATCAGTCACGCTACAGGAGTAAATTTTACTGTGAAATGCACTGAATGATCTTTCCTTAACCTATCACTCATCATCTTTATTAGGACTTGTGTTTTAAGTCCATGAAAGGAAAGTATTCTAGAGGATTATATTGAATAACTTCACGGAACTTGTGTAGAAAACATCTATATTAATAGGAATTCATATTTCCTCTTTTGATATATATACACATATGTTTGTTTTAAAAAATCACCTTTAACACAATACCGTGTAAGAAGAAATATTAGCGAGACGCAAATTTAGCAATTTATCCTTGAAAATTGCTTTTTTATTTTCAGCGAGATGTAATTTTAGCGATTTTAAAAAGCCCACTAAAGAACCTATTGCAAATAAAGCGCAATTAATTTTTAGGGATATTCAATTTGAGCAATCTTGGCACCCTCGCTAATAATGCCAAAATTAAATCCTCGCTAAAAACTCTGCTTATACGGCATAACATTTAATTTCAAACCATACAGAAGTTGTTACTTGAGCATGATTTCCTGTTGTCTTATTTCAGTGTTCAACATGATGACATTGGAGCCCACATCAACGTAGGAAGAACGTATAACAACATGAACATGTCCAAGGAAGCAGAGGCTGCCTACAAGAAAGCTCTTAGTTACTTCCCACAAATACAGCCCGGTAAATGTAACTTATTGTAAAATAGGCAGTGTAATTTTTCATTTAAAAAATTAATCTTAATTTCATGGGGTAAAAATCAGCTGAAGATTACCACTTGCCTGTTTGAATTTGAAATAATAACATCCTATTTTAAAATAAAATTAATAGAAATTTGATATGATTAAAAAAATTGAGAATTTTGTTTTCTTGTATGGAGTTCAATGTCAGAATTTAGTGGCAGACTTAACTTTAAGTACAGCTATTTATAAGAACCAGGCAGAAATGAAAATAAGTGATTCATGATAGTGATAGATTTTTCAAAAACTATCATATTTACATTAAGATACATCAAACTAAATACTTGATCACAGTTATAAATGGATTTCATGCATAGTTGATTAAAAAATGAATTCAATATATACTGAAACAGTCAACAATATCCATTGAAAGGTGTCTGTACGTGCAGGTGATTTTTTAAGAAGGCCCGCACTCTCCTTGAATGTGAATTATAAAATATTGAACATCTAGTATCAAAGAGTAAAAAACAATTAAAAAACCCATGGGTTATTTTAATTACGAATAGATATTGTGATTTTAAATTATGTAAAAACATGAAATTCTAGTTATCTCCCTTGGCACTCTTTAGTAAAACGAGTTGGAAAGAGTGTATTTAACTCTTCAGTTTAGAAGGGGAGGATTAAGAAATGTGTGTGATTTCATCTTCATTTTGGAAGTTTTGCCGGTTTTCATACGTCCAAGGGGCATGTAAGTCTAAAATTTTCATTAGAAAAATATAATCCTAGGATTAAAAAAAAAATAACTGCCTGCAATTTGCTTTTTTTTATCTGACAAAAACAAAATTTTATTTCCTAAACATGCTATGAGTTTGAGTGTTTTGATTTAGGCTAACTTGTTTAACAATAACATCAAAACTACTTAAATTCAGTTAATTTTGGGGAAAAAACATTTAATTTTGTACTGGAATTTGAACAGTAGCTCGCTGCTGGGGATTAGAGTATGATGAGTATCTCTCCTTTCCGTCGATACTCCCTTAGTACTGCAATATACACAGTTGACTGGAAGAAATCCTCGACCTCAGCATACATGAAGCCATAGCAAGAAGCAGTGAAAGCCACAGCAGAGATTGGATGGAGCATAATTTTTTCTATGTATCGGTGCCTCTATGGATGTCATATTTAGATCAGGTATTTAATACATAACACAGACAAATGTCTAAACAAAGGCAATATTGACTATTTTTTTTTCAAATTGAAAAAGGGGAAAGTCAGAAAAATTGATAGCAAACATACAGGCTGACTGCTAGTAAAAGTTATCAGTTCTGGTAAAAATCTACCAGCCTAGCTGAGAAAATAATTGTCTTTTGTAAAATTGATTTTTGAAACTTAATAAGAGGTACTGTGAGCAATGAGCAAATGATACCCCCCCCCCCCATATGAATATAATAGTGACCATAATTTGCTGTAGGAAAATATATTAATAATGCCATACTTTCGTACAATACCACTATTTTTTTGCATAATTTTACTCTTAAACACACAAAATCTCAGGAGCTTCTGGGGCTTTGCCCCCTGGACCCCCTTCATTCAAACTATGGTATGACTAAACATATGACTGTACTTTGGAACATCACTATCAAGACCCCTTGTCTGAACAAAGTTATCCACGCCCCCCCTCCCCCTCCCTTTTAATCACAAATCCTGTACTGCTCATGATACCATTAGTTGATTTGGAAGCGATTAATCAAATTATTAAATTTTAATTAATGAAAACTTTAAACAAGTCCAGCTGGGCATCAATATGTGCAAATTGGTAAGCCCACAGCAAAATTTGTGCGTCTCGGGTGGTCAGGCGCACTGTTATTTCAAACACTGTTTTCGGAATGGCCAATGGGTCCTTCTTAAACTAGTGAATATTTAATTAAGCCCTGAAAAAACTCAGATGTTATGGCAAAACCATAATTACTATTTTTCTTATTCATTTACTCAAAATTTAAAATTGTGCCCTTTCAAACTGTATATTTCCAAACTTATATGTGTATGATATTCTTCAAATGCATTTCCTTTTATTTGAATTATATATAAGGGTGGGGAGTCCTACAAAATTTAATTGACAAGCAAAACAACCAATAAAATACTGTTATGGTTTTATCAGTTGAAACGGTGGGAGGGGGGGGGGTAAAGCCATATAACCCTATCTGAATGGGGGAGGGGGGGCTTCCCAAATATTCCTACAAGCAAATATATACACACATAGAAAGAGAGAGATTTATAAATATGAGAGCACATACAATATGAATGGGTTTCTGCCAATGTTTTCGTCTAATTTATAGGTTTAAAACTTAAAAATAAAATTTGATCCTACAAAACTAGAACTCTTTTTCAATTTATAGCTAATAGTATGAATTCATGATGATATCACTAGTACATGGGGGAGGGGGGGGAGGTAAATAAATATTTATTATCAATAATTCAAAAGCTAAATTGTTATATAAATGTATGCATTCTCTTGTCATATAATGAATTTCATGATTTGTTATCATTTCAGATGCAGTCTGAGCCTTGTTCTGAATTTCAAAATCCCCTTTGACAACACCTACACAGCTGAGGTAATGTAAACTTAAAAATTGAGGACAACCGTCACCAAGAAAAGATTATCAATTCAACTAATGTTAGTGTTATATATACTTTATATTATTTATGTATCATTAGATAATTGGGTAATTTGTGTTGACAACTTGCAGTTTTTTTTAATTATCATTAAGAACATTCCTTTTCGTTTAGCAATCAAGGGCCTTCTGACTAAGGGTTGAATTATAGTGAACACTACAATTCAGAGACTTTGAAACAGGTATATATTTCTTCTGATCTTGATTCTCTGAATTTTTTAGCTCACCTGAGTTGAAGGCTCAAGTGATCTTTTCTGATCAAAGTTTGTCTTTTATCTGTCATTGTCATTCTTCAAGGGGAGAGAATTACAAAATTAATAGCATTACTGATATCTTCTCAAAAACCAATGGCCCAGGAAATATGAAACTTATGTGGAACCATTGTCGGGTAGTGTAGATTCAAATTTTTCAAATCATGAACCCCATGTGTAGGACGGGGCCACAATGGATGATCAGAGTTTAACATAGGAATATATAAAAAAAAATATTTTAAAATCTTTTTCTCGGATACAGCAAGCCTTGATTGGTAATATTTATATGAATAGAGAAAAAATCCTTTAAAAATATTCTTCCAAAGAACAGAAAAGCCAGTAAGTTATATATACATATGGAAGCATTTTCTTGTAGTGTAGATTTGTTCAAATCATGACCCCCCCCCCCCCAGGCATAAGGTGGGGCTACAATAAAAGTGTTCAAACTTGTAGGGAAAAACTCACAGTTAGTCAAAAATAAGTACCCTGTAAGCATCCTTAGTGTAGATTCAGTTATGTTCAATCATCTCTCTCTCTCCCTTACAGGGAGAGGTCAGGACCACATTTGCTTTTAAGCTTTTCAATACAAAGCTGATTTTTGATTTTTATCCAAGCCAGGTGAGTGATGTGGCCCTGGGTCTCTTGTTAAATCATTTATCTACACATATATGTACAGTACAACTCGGTTATAACAAACTAGGACCTGTAAAAGTACTTCGCTATATAATTCGTTATATCCATATTTGTAATTTTGTAATATTTATATAGTTGGGGATCCAAGAAGACTTCTGTGAATTCACAATGTCCGTGTTTGTACTAAACAAGTTTTACTGCAGTTACATGTATGTGGAAGCCAAAAAGGAGTAAAAGAATTATTATTGTATGTCATCTTCATTATTTTGTTCAATCCATACAAATGTTTCTTTGAATATTGGAAACTAAAATCAGTAGAAAGTTAGAAATTAAAATTTATAAAATGCAGCATATCTAAACAGAACTTTTGTCGTTGAAAAAAAAAAACCTTTTCAGATGAGCAAGGCTGTAATTGTTATACTAATATTCAGAATCAAATACCGGTAACAGCTAACTACTTGAGGCAAGGATAGGGTGAGGGTTAAAGAAGGGGTTACATCACTTGAAAATTTAGAGAAGAATTGTAGAGCTGAGGTTTTTCTCCAGAACCACAGGGCCAATTTTTACCAAACTTGGCAGGGCTAAGACCCCTTACAAGGGGTGATAATCAGGAAAAGAGAAAAAATAGGGAGCCACTGGGTCAGAAAAGCTGAAACTTGTGTTAAAGCATCCAGGGATTAAGTGTAGATTCTAAATTGTTTAAATCATGTCCCCTTCCACCTAAGAATAGACCTAAACCACAATAGGTATTACAAGTAGGAAAATCTGGTGTAGAACAGCATGACCAGTTACTCTGGTTAGTATTATGGACCATGGCCTTCTTGTATTCATGATCATGATCATAGAGAAAACAAACCATAGCTACTCTCCTCCTTCAACAGCAACAAGAAAAAATTGCTTTACGGAATGTCTATTTTCATTAACAAAGTTCAAATTTTGAATTATATTTTTTCCAGATTGATGAATGAACCACATGCATTATGTCAGATGAATCTAGCTGGACTTGGAGCACCTTTTTAGCAGCCAGGACACATAGATGTACCTATACAGTTGATACAGATAATCTCAACGGCACATTTCTAAATGATGGCCAAAAAAATCTAATAAAGACACTGTCAGTTTAAAACTTTTTGAAAGAAATCCAGACCAGAAACAAAGGACATTGATTTTCAAGCTCCTCCAAATGTAAAAGGGGTTTTATTGAAACCAAGACCAGGATACACCCAAGGATATTTAATATTACAACCCTTCAACATAAAATTTTGAATTTTAGTTTGCCTATCTAGTCAAGAACATGGATTTTTTGACATTTGATACACTTTACATGTATAATGTTATATTGACATTTTTTCAAGATTTCTTTACTGTAAACTATTTATTTCAGCAAAAAGTACATTTACAGATGATTTTTCAAAAATTGCTTTAAAAATACAATTGAAATATTTAGATCATGTCTCATAAATGGTTAATCACAGTTACCACAGAAACCAAATATTTGTTTTAAAGAAGTTAGGTACAAAAAAATGTGTCTTTCAGTATTTTAGCTAATGGCAGTTTTCTTCATACAAGCTAATCACATTGACTAAATTGTATAGGCAAATACAATATTTTTGGAGATGCTGTCATGGTAACCAGATACAAATCACAAAAGCATATTTAAAAAAATATATTTTCATGCATTTACAATAAACTGTGAAAATAATACATGTATGTTAGTCAATAGTTATTTTATATTTTATGGAGATTTTGTAAAGTTAATTTATTTAAAAAAGCATTTCCAGGATAATTTGTTGCCATGGTTACAAAAATTTATGAGAAATACACTGGTTTTATCTAATATTTGCAAGGTTTAGGAGAACATTTTCTATCTTATATTATCAATTTTTTTGTGCTTGTGGTATTTTTTCCACAACATACTCTGAAAATGATGTATTTTGGTATTTTCTTGAAAAATGATTTTTTGTGATATTCTGTTGCCATGGTTACAGAATTTTTTTGAAAAACGAATGGGTTTTGTTTTGTTTTATTAGAATTAATAGGATTGTGGTCTTTCTATCCCATGCTTTCAGTTTTCTTTAACATGTGGGATTTTTTCTAACTATGCTCCTAAAAATGGGTATTATTGTGAAAAATGAATTTTTGTGACATTTCGTTGCCATGGTAACAGAATATTATTTAAAAACCCATGGGTTTTATTTAATTTTATTGAAATTAAGAAAGTGCTCTTTCTATTCCACATGATCAGATTTCTTTAACATGTGGGATTTTTTCTTACTATGCTCCTAAAAACGGTTATTATTGTGAAAAATGAATTTTTGTGACATTTCGTTGCCATGGTAACAGAATATTTTTAAAAAACCCATGGGTTTTATTTAATTTTATTAAAATTAAGAATGTGCTCTTTCTATCCCATGTTATCAGATTTCTTTAACATGCGGGCCTTTTTCTTAATATGCTTCTAAAATATGTTGGATTTGAAGAAATATTGTGAAAAGTGAATTTTATGAAATGACCTATGTTAAACTGAAATTCAGCACCTTTAATAAATCCTGTATAATTTTATCCTTATGGTAATCATTTATCATTTTGTATGTACTTCTCAGGAAAAAAAGATTTATTTATGGTACTATCATCAAAAAAACTCTTTTCCTGTGTTCAATAATAGCTAAATTCACATTTTTGTGAATTTTTTGCTTGGTTGCCATGTGCATTTACATGGTGCATTATTTCCATGGCAACAAAGGCTGGCCAAAAAAATTATGTTGTCCAATGATGTTCCCTTGGTCCATGAAGCAACATATATAAATTTTGTAAAGATCTGAAATGGTCATGAATCACCCCCTGCCTGGTTCTTACAAATAGCTGTACTTAACATCTTTTTTGATAAGGAATGAATATGATAGAGGGTGAGCTGTATATTTATCAGATAGTATTTCTTAATTTCATGAAAGGCTTTATAAATTTTTTTTCACTTGTTTTTGAAGGCAAAAGTTACCAGGCTCGCATTGCTCCAAATCACCTGAATGTTTATCTCAACCTGGCATCTCTTGTCAGCAAAGACCCCACCAGACTGCTAGAGGCTGATAAGGTACACATTCTATATGTAGATATTAGATAGTGAAACAACTATATCTTATCCTTAAATTTTTATTGACTCAGGAATTCTAGGTTCTTTTCAATTCAAGTTTGGTCACAGAGCATAGTTTCAAAATATGAAATGATATATTGACTTAAGGTAAAGTTTCATGGTCACATATTTTCATTTGAAAATGCATTATGAACTTTGCTGATTGATAGAGTATATTGTATAAATTGTACCTAACACTTCAAAGAATTTTAATTTGATAGCTAGAAGCAATATGCAACTACGTTTCTTTATATAAGCAAAATTTTCAAAAGTTCTTGGAAATCAAAAAGTAATAATTTGTAATCTTTTTCACAGTACCTGAAGACAGCTGTTAGTATGAGACCAGACTACATACAAGGATACATAAACCGGGGGGACATCCTAGTCAAACTGGGACAGTAAGTAATGAAATGGTGAAAACGCTTCCTTATTGAACTGAACAAAAATGTGACAAAGGAGGGTATACAATATTTATGTTCTAATTTAATTATTAAATAATGTTCAAATCTGGATGAAAGCTTTCGTATTTGACAGGAAAGAGGAGGCATTAGAAGTGTATAACATTGCCCTGAAGTATGAACCTGACAATGCAGATGTTCATTATAATGTAAATATGGCAACTTGTTTCTGTGTCTTTGATCTGTTAAGCTTTGATATTCACTGATAAGTGATGTGTACATGCACATTTCTTTCAAATCAATACTAGTTGATATCTAATGTGTACATGTTTGTTCCTTTGCTCTCTGTCAGATTGGAGTGGTTTTACTGGAGCTAGGACGACCAGAGGAGGCTAGGAAGAGTTTTGAAACGGCTCTTCTCCATGAACCAGACCATGAGGTGTGCAAAACTTTTTATTACCAATCTCTTCTTTTTCATGCATTGCATACTGTATTTATATGCATGTTTATGTTCTATATTTGTAGAAGTCTTGTAGATAAGTTTAATTGGTGCAAAATTTTATGTTTATGTGGCAATTCATAAATATCTTGCTGTTAGAGTCATAGAAATTTTTGGTCATAGACAAAAACAATTATTCATTTTTTTTCCTATCATTTCAGCAATCACTGTACAACTCTGCCATAATGATTCAGGAGTCTGGAGAACCGAGACAGTGGCCTGAGGCCATTAGAAGGTATCTGTATTGACAGGCTTCTTATTCTGCACTGATGTAATACCATTAAATAGATACAATATTTTCTTTTGGGGGGGGGTATTCTAACCTTTATCAGAATTAGCAGAACTTTTGTTTTGCTTGTAAATATATGTTCCAAATATAAAACTTTGCTGTGATTATTTCTGTTTATTGGTGTATGTATGATTAGAGTGGTTTAAAATAAAATTGGATCATTCTTTAATTATTTACTTCAAACAAGTGTAATATTTTAACTGACTTTTTTTATTGTGCAGACTTTCAAAACTAATTAAGAAGGATCCTAAGGAGCCCAAGTACTATTTTACCCTGGGGATGATTCACATGGACATGAAGGACTACCTCGAGGCGGAGAGGGACTTCAAGAACTGCATCAAGGTTAGAGAGTTTATTTCAGCATACTATTAAAATTATTTTTATGCAGTTAGGGTAATCTCCCTTTGATTTGATCTCAATTTGACTGAATTTATGGTACACTATACATTCTTTATAAATTCAAATGTTCTAAATGTTATCTTTAGTTAGCTAAGTACACAGTTGCATACTTATAGAAGTTTGTAGCAATTTTTTTTATTTGTTTGATAAATGAAAGGATGTATGTTGACATTGACCAAATTGTAGATTTTAATGCAAAACTTTCTTAACTGATGTACATTAGTTATAAGGAGCTCAGAGACAAAAAGTCGTTAGATCTTTTGGGTTTTTTTTTCTCATAATTTTGCTTATCCCTGTCATTTGAAGACCTTTCTCCACTCTTACGTGTATAGCAGACACCTGTATTTGACTTCTATATCAGTGAGAACTTTAGAAATTTAAAATAAATTATTATACTGAAAAATACAATAAAACTATCAATGCATCTGTGGCGGTCAGTCGGGTTCCATCGTCGGTGGTTAGATAGTTCAGTCAGTAGACTGAGTAGAGCATCTGACTGGAGATTTACGGGGCTTGGGTTTAAAGCCAGGTCTGGTCCGCCACATTTTTCTTCTCTCCCGTTACACATTAATTGTTTCTTTTTTTGTTCATTTCAGTTTGACCCCTTCTTCAGGAGTGCTTTGTTTAACCTGGCTCTGATGTTGAACAACAACTTAAACCGACCACTAGACGCCATTCCTTACCTGGAAACTCTCATTGAGGTAAGGAGAGATTAAGGAGTGATTATTAGTTTATTTATTGATTCAGTGAATGTAACAAATTGCCTATGCAGTATTTCACTATGATTGATTAAAGAAAAATCAGTTAATGAGTAAGGGAACAGAACAGATTGCTTCTGCAGCATATAGGTACATCATTTCACTACACAGTAAAACTCGGTTATAGCGAAGTCCTTAGGACCTATGAATTTAATTCGCTATATCCGTAATTCATTATATCCGTATAACGAATTCGTACAACCATTATTATAATAGCGAATTCGCAATATGCATGCTTTCCTTCAATTATTACTACTAAATATGTTAGGGAAGCAAATATTACTAAACATATCTTCAATAACTAAGGTTTTATTATGAATTGAATTTTATATTCAAATGCTAAAAGGAAATAAGGTTAGATCAGTTTTTCAATTTTTTAATAACCTCTGAGAGTTCATTATAAAAGATGTAAATATCATCATAACTAACTTCAACGGGACTCAAAATCAGTTCGCCATATCCAAAAATTCGTTATATCAGAGTTCGTTATAACAGTAAAATTTTACAAAGATTTGTTAATAATTTTGTTGGGGACCCACAAAAACTTCGTTATATCCATGAATTCGCTATATCCGTGTTCGTACTAAATGAGTTTTACTGTAATTGCCTAAGTAAATACTTAAATCTTTTTTATACATGTCGTATCAAAATGACCCTTTAATCAGAAATACTATAGCGGATAAGGTCTGGTAAGCTTTCTGAATTTCAATTTTATTACATAATTAAAAAAAAAGACTATAGTATACAATCTACATCCTGCTTCATTTAATTTTATGTAGAATGAGCACTTCAAGGTATAAAGCTAATGTTGTTCTTAATTGTATAGATACATGTATCTACTATCATGATAAATATAGAGAATTTATGTACATGTATGTATGCTTGTGTAAGTTACATGTATAAGAATTAATGATAATAAGCTTTGTTCTGCTTTATAGTGATCTTTTTTCATCAAATTCTGAGTCTATAACAGTGTGCATAACCATATACATGATGTAACCAGTATGGAAATTAATTTTGCGATACTTTACAAGACATTTCTTGAGTTGCTTCTTACTATTGCATTAAATACATGTATTGCCTGATTTGCATTCAAACCCTGGTTTTGACATAAATAAATGACAAAAGTTGAATGATTAATTGTGTGTTTCTTCCAAACATCAGTATTTTTTAATAGTGTAACAAGAGGGACTTTCCATTTTTAACATTCCAAGCTTTAATGTTCAGTTACTTGAATAAAAACTGATGTTGCATGTATGAGAAAATCACATAATTAATATTTGGAAATAAAATTTCATAGCATTTGGTAAAAATTTTTTAAAATATTAATTAAAATAATTGATCTCCAGGATCGAAACTTTATCTTTTACCCATTTCAAAATTATTCAGGTTTTATTAATTTGATTAATTTCATTGCAGCATTACCCAGAGCATACCAAAGCCTTACTTCTGATGGGAGACATTAATGTGAATGCCCTCAAAAAGCTTGACGAAGCAGAGAAGAACTTTGCCCGGGTGGTGCAGCTGGAGCCCAAAAATGTGCAGGCCCACCACAATTTGTGTGTGGTGTACGTGGAGCGCGGCGACCTGATCCGTGCGGAGAAATGTCTGATGGCAGTCCACAACATGGCTCCCACGGAACAGTACATCATTAATCACCTCAATATCGTCAGGACCAAACTTAACGAACTGATTAAAAAACGACAGGAGGAGATGAAGAATCAAAAACCAGGCCAACCTCTAAAAGGCCAACCTCCAGCAAACAAACCATAGCTCGCATACATTTACATGCATAGTCCCAGAGGTTGATGAATAGATTTTGAACTTTTTTTATTTTAGTTTTGTTAATGACTCACATGTGTGGCAAAAGTATAGTATATTTTAGAAATCTGAGGGCTTATTCATGTGAAAATGTTCAGAGTGCTTAGTTTATAATTCGAAGAAGTCCTTAAAGTATACAGTACATGTATAAAGTATTATATGAAAAAAAAATTGTATCAATTTATTTGCACATTTGTAATATGAATTAATTCACTTCTGCCTGAAATGAAAAAAATGAGAAGAAAAAGGAATAATTTAGATGTCTGATCTCTGACAATTACTCTTTTAAAAAAATTGATAATTGGTTTACTTAAAAAAAATTATATATTAAAATCTGAAACTTTAATACAGACTGAGGCGTATAAACATAGATTATGCTTCTTAAAAGTTTTATTCACTATTTTCTCCATTTGTTGCCTTTGGCCTGTTTTTTTCTCTTTTTATATGCTGGCCATTTTGATATTTTTTACTTAAACTAATCAGGTCAAAAGAAGAGGATTTATGTTTTGAATTTTTGCAATTGTATCTTTACAAATTTGAATTGCAAAGTACCTGAAAAATGCTTGTTATGAATATTTTAGAGTATATACTTGTTTCATTTATGTTTATACATAGTGCTGCTTTATTCACAGAGATTAATAGATAAATATGAGATTTAGTTATAGTATTTTGGTATTAGCATTTTTTTTTAGGTTTTTTTGCCTGGGCTTGATATTTTAGCAGTGTGGTTGTCTTTATTTACAAGATTTAGATGGTTTTGTTTACATCATGAAGATGTAGATGATATATTGTGTGTATGTTCTATCATTTGGTTGTGACTATTAGGTATCAGAAATCATGATATTTGAAAGTTATTGCTCAAATTTTTCACATGTACAAGACAACTCATATCTAAGTACCATACATGTATTTATATCATGCATTTTTTCATCATCTTGCTATTTATTGTTTTATTTTTTTTTTTTTTTTAGATATTAACATAATTTGTTTGATTTGCTGTTATGCAGAGCTTGAAATTTACCTTTATAGCTTGAGTACTAGACCAAAATAATAGAAATTAGATGTTTCAGATCTTCTATTGCTTCTCAAATATCAGTTTATTGTGAGATGTTCATTTAGATGCCTAGCATTATGATTGATATTAAATACATGTAAATTATTTGTTTCATCTAAAGAATATATAGTGCAAGTGATTCTGTACTTACAAAAAGATATTACCAGGTATTTGTATGTAAATTTTGGGCATTTGTTAAACTCCTACACTACCAGTTGAGAAATATATGATGGAATAATTATATTTGTTTTAATTAATAACTACAGCATATGAAATACAAAACTAACATTTCAAGAAGAAAAATCATTTAAAACTTCCTTGCACTCTGTTTATGGTAATGGAACAATATGTCACAGATTTTTCATGTACCATACCAGTGCACTTTATTTAAAACAAAACAAAACAAAAATGTATTTTAATTTTAATTTAATTTTCTGCTGTCAACTGAGAATCAATTCCATCTTTTTAAGATTTTCTACATTTATTTTGTGTGTAATTTGTTAGTACACCAATAGGTTGATTCAATATTTCTTTTATTAGATGCACAAACAAATAATTATTTATGTATCACTCTATGCATACCAGGTGCAGTATACATGTATATCACTAATACAGTTTGAAAGCTACATGTAATTATATAAATCTCAGCATTACACATTTCATTTAGTATTTGTATAAATGATATTGTTAATGATATGTATACATGAATCGTTGGTTGTGAGACTTGAGAAAATTCCATTTTGATAATCAAATTTTAGTGATTGATTATCAAAAAAAAAAAATGGAAAAGAAAAGTTTGTTATAGTTAATGAGCATAGTTAAAGTGTAGCAATAAATGCCTTGAATTTCAAATTTTGATATTTTTTTAAATATTCATTTAGTTCCTTGCCAATTCATTTTGTCAAAAATCTTACACTCCAGTTAAAAATTCATAAACCACAGATTTCTTTGGTTTTTTCCTGATAATGTCATCTGAAATATTAGTGGTACTTAATTTTGCCTTATTGAGAGTTATGTAATGTATGTAGTCGTGTAAATGTAGTTAAATGTAAAGATAAGAAAGAGTAATCCTGTTCAAAACATACACATTTAAAAAAAATTACACTACCTGCGGATCAAAAGTCTAAATGAAAAAAAATAAACAGAGACTTTTGAACACTTCAGAGGTATAATCAGGTGCCATGAAGGAATAGGCATCCCCTGACAACCTGTCAAACTTGCTGTGTGCTTGAGGAACCTGTGTTTACTGTCATTTTCAGATAATTCAAGAAATCTGCAGACAATTCAGTTTGAAAATAATTACCTATGAATTAGTTTTAAAGAGATCAGTCCGTTTTAAATTCTCAATATGTCACCCTAGTGAAACATCTGTTTCAAACTCTGGTGCGATTTATTTCAAGTTCCTTTTTATAAATTGAATCTCTATGCAAATGAAAACATAGGTAATCAGAGATTACAGAGCTCACCTCAACAAATGTCTTTAAAGCCATATATGGCGTATGTACAATGAAAATTATTAGACTAAAATTATAAGAACTTATTATTTGTATCATTACTTTATAAAAAGATAAAACTTTTCCTTAAATTACAAAATCTAAGTCAATTGCATTATAAAGGTATCACAATTGAATTTGGATTCTCGGCATTTTCTCCGACTCGGAAGAAAATACAAAAGATTTAAATAACACATTACAGAGAAGGTGAAATCGTGTTATTAGATGAAACGAGGTGTTCTCCGTGTTCAGAATTGTATGAAAAGCTTTAATTTAAATGTATTAACTATATTTCTTTACTTAATTTTGTATTTTTCAAAAATATATATTTTTGATCAGTTACGCCATATATGGCTTTAAGTAAGGCAAAGTCACAGAATTAACCAATAAAAATTTATGCAATTTTGATTTGATACTTTGGAATAGGCCTATATAAAAACTTCAAACTAGTTCTTCATCATGAAAACGTAACTAAAATCAAGCATCTAAAGCCAGTTTGAGAGTTTCATCCCTTAATGCATCATTTGTGCAAGTTTGGTTTATATAAGCCTTGTAGTTTCTTGGAAATAGACCTGCACCTATCACTTTTACCATGTCCAATATCTGGAAAATGTATGTTGAATTCAGCATCTGAACATTACTGTGCATCCTAAGATTTATCATCCATGCGAGTTTGCTCAACATAGAGCTCAAAGTTATTTAGAAATGAAACCTGTATAAAAAAAACTAATCTTTTCACTAATCAAGAAAATGTACGTAGGTCAAATTCAGCATCTGAACCCAGCCTGGTAGAATGCACCCTATAGATGTATAATCCAAGTTTGGTTATTAAAGAGCTCAAAGTTGCTTGAAAATGAATTCTGCACCAAAAACTTTACCTGTTCACTCAACAGGAAAATGTAGGTCAGATTCAGCATCCAAAGCAAGTCTGCTAGTATGCATCCTTAGATGTATCATACATGCAAGTTTGGTCATTATAGGGCTCATAGTATCTTTGAAATGAAAACTGCACCAAAAACTTTATCCTGTTCACTCAACCGGAAAATGTAGGTCAGATTCAGCATCCGAAGCAAGTCTGGTAGTATGCATCCTTAGATGTAGTATCCATGCAATTTTGGTCATAATAGTGCTCATAGTTACTTGGAAATGAGACCTGCACCAAAAACTTTAACCTGTTCACTCAAACGAAAGATGTAGGCTAGATTCAGCATCCGAAGCAAGTCTGGTAAGTTTGGTCATAATAGGGCTCATAGTATCTTTGAAAGGAACCCTGCACCAAAAACTTTAACCTGCTCACTCATCTGGAAAGTGTAGGCCAGATTCAGCACCCGAAGCAAGTCTGGCAGTATGCATCCTTAGATGTATCGTACATGCAAGTTTGGTCACAATAGTGTTCATAGTTACTTGGAAATGAGACCTGAACTGAAAACGTTAACCTGTTCACTTATGCGGAAAATGTAGGTCAGATTCAGCATCCGAAGCAAGCCTGGTAGTGTGAATCCTAAGATGTATCATCCATGCAAGTTTGGTCAACATAGGGCTTATAGTTACTCGGAAATGAGACCTACACAAAAACTGCACCAAAAATTTTAACCTGCTCCAAAAACATTAACCTGGTCATTCCTTTGCTGAAATTGCAGCGTCTGAAACTTTGACTGGTACAATGAAACACACTAGAAACATCTTCCATGCAATCAATATAGGCATAACTTAAAAAGAAAACTGCTCCAAAAAACTTAACCTTAACCCGGGACGCCGACGCCGAGGGTATTACATATGCTCCCCCAACTTTGTTGAGGTGAGCTAAAAATGAAAATTATTATTGAATATAACATTTCTAAAATGAAGGCCACAGCAAAATCCATGCACAGACTTGTGAATAAACCTTGCTTTATAAGACTACAAACACAGGTATGTTAACTGTTATAATGGTGCACAGTTGGTTCCCATGACAATTCAAATATAAATTTTGAAAGACGGATTCATAGACTACATAGATATTGTCATGAGGAACTTGGAAATCTTTATGAATCCCCGTTTTTATGCTCAACTGGACAGATACCAGAAGAGCTTACGTGATAGTAATGTGTCTAGTCTGTCTGTCTGTCTATCTGTGTGTAAGTAAACAATTTTTCAAATTGGAAGCCCTCCTGCAATTTTTGTCCGATTTCAGGATAACTCGGCAGACACGTAGCTTACATTAAATTACAGGATTCTATAAATCGGTTTTCAATTTTGGTGAACGATGTTGTCATGGTTACTATAATTATACGTAAAAACAACAACTTCTACGACATACCTTCAAAAGACTACTCCTCCTACAGTTTTGGCCTGATTTTAATACAACTTGGCACATAAGTACATGTAGAATACAATAAGATTCTTAATTCTGTACATCGATTTTTCATTTCATGAACGGTGTTGCCATGGTTATTAAAAGTAGAAATTTCTGTGTGATACTGTCGAACCGCAAATTCTCTTACAATTTTGGTCTGATTTCAATATAACATGATACAAATTTAAAGTAAACTACACTAAGCTAAGAATTCTAATAGATCAGTGACTTCGATGAACAGTTTTGCAAGGGTTATAAAAACAGAGAAATTCTGTGAAGTACTCCTCCTACAGTTTTGTTTGATTTTAATGTAATTTAATTAACAAGTTGACAATTTGAAAATAAGTAATTTGTTATAATTTTTTTTCAATGAACGGTGATGTCATGATTACTTAAAATAGAAATTTCTGTGAAATATTTTCAAAAATAAGTTATTCGTCCTCCGCTGGTCTAATTTTAATATAACTTGGCATTGAAAGAACACACCAAGAAACAAAATGGTTTTTATCCTAAAGTTATTTTATGAATGCTGTTGTCATGGTAACTAAAATCTAATTTTCTAAAAGGTCTTTTAAAAGGCTAGTCCTCTAACATTTAAATTCTGATTGCAAACCAAAGATCATTTTCTATTTATTTTTGTTGCAAAGTTTCAATCCAAGTGCAGTTTTCTTTTCCTTTGTTATATGTTCAAAACAGTAGAGCTACAGTCTAGTCAGAGACTTCTGGTTTAGAATCAGAATAGTTTTTAACAATGTTTGAAAATATTGTAGAATTTGTATGTACATTTTTTTTTTTACATATATGTAACATAAATGTGGATATTATGTAGATGTAAATGTACGTAAAATCTGTATATTTAATCAATTTCTACACAACCGCTCAAATAATGAACTTGTTTATGAATACATTTATTACAAAAGCATCTCCATGCCATTTACAGTGGACTTTGTAAGTTTAAAACACTCTAAATGGAAGATTTTGTATTTTCAGATAATGTCATATTATCTTCAACTTATACATGCATAGAGAAAAATATCTCCGAACGTGAGAATTTAATCTTTTAGAGGAAAACATCTGCACATATCTACAGATATATTTGACCCTTAACAAAAACCTTAAACTTCGCATTGTTCCTTTTTGACTGTTCGAATTACAAGTCATGAGGACAATCATTTTCATTCTATCACTATGTGGACTCAGTAATGCACAATTCACTAATCCTTACACTGCAGAGCAATGTGCTTCCAGACTGGCCTGTTCGCTGAATTACAGCAAAATATTCGATTCCAAAATCAATGAGCTGACTTATCACCACAACTTAGATCTGTACGCACTTCGCAACTATGTTAATGGAAAGCTACTACCTCTTGAACATGAAACGGAAGTTTTAAAATTGAATACCTCGGCCATGTTGGAAAGTTTTGGGCGGGAAATTTCAAACACCCACACCACGTTGAATCACGATCGGGAATTCATGAGTAATCTTTCTCATGGTCTTAACGCTTTGGGTAAATCTCTTCACGGCGAGATAGCGGTCCGTATGGATGATGTCCATCGACTGATAGTAGAGGTCAAGGACGTCCAGCATACGCTGACACTGCTGCAGACGCAGATTAATGAATTAAAGGGAATTAACGTGACTGGGCACACACTACAAGTTGTACAACCGGCACAACCTTGCAAAGGTATTGTTGTGGTTTATCAATTTTACAAAATTTGCTTGCATAATTATTGTTTTCCATAGGAGGGCTTCAATGGAAATCTGCATTTAATATGACACAATATGAAAAAGATAAATGTATTCTGAACATTATATCAGACCAAAATAAAGTTATTGAAAGCATCATTTGCATGTATTTTGGGAAGAAAACAACGGTGATTTCTTTCCATAAATAATCTCTGTCTTTTAACATTTACTGTTTCGATGTTAGAAACAAGCTTACAATAGTATAATATTTTGCAATACATGTATATGGCTAACAACACATTTCTGTATATAAATATGTGCTTTAGTGCCAATAAAGAATTGAATTGAATTGAATTGAGTTTTCCCTAGAGAATTCGAGTACAGCTAGCGGATACCCTATGTTGAAAATGAATTAGATTAATTCGATGTGAATACTTTTATACGGTAAACAATTCTCAAAATCCAACTTTTTAATCAGTTATAGACTACATTCATCTCTGAAAGGTTTTTTTTTATTTGTTAGCTGATAATGCCACAATAGATGAACTAAATGAGCTTAGAAAAAATAACACCTTCTTGGAGAGGGTGTACAAGTTTGCCACAGCTTCCTTAAGGAATTTGACGTCAGTAGTTGCAGCCCGAGACAAGAAGATCTTAGCGTTACAACGAGAGATACAGTCCTTGCAAAGTCAATCCTCCAAACCTCTTATATCCAGGTATGAAAACAATTGAGTCAAAATCCAGAAACAGTTAATATTGTCAAGATAAAAAGATAAAAAAGTCTTGAAAAGCGTTTCTTTTAGAAATCCGCTAGACTTTTTTTTTTAGGGAATTTCACTCCCTCCCCCAAATATATTTTATTCTCGCACCAGGAACAAGAAAACAAATCAGCTACACCTTCTGGCTTGCTACATGAACAATTCACAATCGTACATATGCATCAAAATTGTTACCCAATATTTATTTTTATGTCGTCTTATCATTTCTGAAATATCAAGCACATGTGATACCCCCCTTGGAATGGCCAATGGAACAATATCCGACTCTTCTATTACTGCCAGCGAGTCTCACGTTAACTACAGCCCCGCCGGAGCACGCATCAACAGCCAGACTGGTTGGTATACCAATGACAAGTCCGTTTCACATGACTGGATCCAAGTAGATTTGGGAGAGAAAAAATACGTCACAAAAATTGCCACTCAGGTACGTATCGACTATTAAAAAATTCTAAAGATCAATCTTTGCACGTAAATTTAGCTAGTTCACTCACACAGTTTGAAAATTGTGTTATCGAAGGCATCGATACAAAGTAATTCTGTAGACCAGTTACGTAGTACCGAGTTCAATACTGTGGATGACCAATCACATATTTCCGAGTACAATTTTTATTCAAGTGGTTTATTGAAAAAGGTTTATTCAAAGAAGTTTATATTTGCTAACAAAAAGCCTAGTTTTCAATCTAATTTTTTTAATAATCAGGGAGCCCCATGCTGTGATGTTCGAGTGACAAACTATACCATACAGTACTCCGCTGACGGTGTTAAGTGGAGGGACCTCCAAGAAAACTGCCAGAAAAAGGTATATATCTTTAAGGGCTGTACATGTATACAGTTTGGGTGACTGATATCATTTTAACTATAATGAGGACGTTCTTTTTTATTAGTGGATAACTATCTATTTCTCTCCTATTCCTCGCTTTTTCTAATTGATTTGTTTTTACAGTACTTTGACGGTAACACTGACCAGACTTCCATCAAACTTCAGAACATTGATCCGCCTCTTCTAGCACAACACATTAGACTAAATGTGGTAGACTTCAACAGGAAATCCAACAATGCGAACAACTATGTGGGCATGCGATTTGAGTTGTACGGATGTTCTTTCAAGCCTTAGTATTTTTTAAACGAATAAAAGCAAAAGATTTTCAAATGTTTTGTTTATATATTATTGAGAAGTTATTCATGGAGAAATCTATTAACCAATCTATGAATGGAAAACGTTTACAAAAGGCAAACCGTACACACTGTACCCCATGTCCTTTGCCATTTTTGCCATCCCTTCTGTTTCGATATGCCTCTTGTACAGAGTCTCTGGAAAACGAAGTTTATTTCTGTGACAATCCGCCTTTACCAGTAAGCTACAACCACCAACGCCATCTATAGGAACGGCCCGTTTACCCTCTCCTCTTAAATGAGGGAGGTATATTTTTAGAGACGGGCCGTATCCCTCTACAACAAGTTGGTTCTTTGGAAATCTTTCTTGTTTCTGCAGAGATTCAACCGTTTCTCTCCATGTATTTTTGTCGTAAATGCGCAGGCGCCCACTTCTGTCTTTGAACAGACAAGAGGCTGAAACAAGGTCCTTATTTGCGTGAAGCATTTGTTGAATTAAATCCAGAGGGACAGTTTTAATGTCTGAATCTAACCACAGGACATAATCTTCGTCCTTCAGAGCTGCGTCTAGAAGCAAATTTCTAGCTTTAGCTAGATGGCTTCTCCTCTGAAGCTGCTTTGCATATGAATGTTCATTTGCCCAACTTCTCCTAACTTGACCAGTGATGTTGAAATGGTGAACATCTACTCGGCGGATGCCAAGGGCTTTTAATTGTTCCGCCACTATCAGAGCTTTGGCGAATGTTTTATCTTGACTACCATCCTCACCAAAGGAAACAGACAGCAAATGTCTTGGATAATCTAAACTTTTAATAAGGTTTAAGTATCTCTCCAAATCATCTTCACTGTTTTGAATTGGCGTGAGAATCAGAACGAGGAAACCTTGACACAACGTCTTATTGAGCCATGTGAAATGCCGCATAACCTCCAATGACAAAAGTTCCACCGTGTCATTTTGGAGTGAATGTTTTGGCACGTTTGGTAAATTCCATCTCATATTATCTGCTGTGTCATTATAAAAACAGAGACTCCTATCGGGTAATGATTTGTGTTTTGTGCTCCAGTTCTTTTTACCAAGCAAGATATAAAAATACACATATAAGCCCAAAAACGCTGTGATTACCAATAGAAACACTGATGATGATCTCCTGTAAAAAAAAACACGTAAAAAACCGATTGCAAAATTAGAGAAATACTACTTTAGTTATGCAAGTAAAACGTCTTATTCAAACTGCATACTCAAATTGTAGAGAAAGGCGTTTGAAGTATAAATTTTTCGCTTAAAATGCAAATAAATTGCCTTATAGATAAAAATTAATTTCATTCGATATTAATATTGAACTTAAATGGAAAATCATTAAAAGTTAACTTACCGGATGCTCATAGCTATGGTAACATTTCTGTACTCGGGTTCAATGCCCACCACGTAAACAGATAGTGAGGATAAAAGTCACGAGGGTTAACGATATATAATGATAAGTCTTTATTAAAACATATAAATGCATACGGGATTCAGACGCATTTATCGGTCTTTCTCTTTTTGACAAAGGTATTGAAGTTGGCATGTATACTGGTATAACGTTTTGATTGAAACAGGTCACCCAATGCTTAAAAAGTGTCGTAGTTTAGAAGATTTCCCAAAGACAGGAGTCAAATAATTTTATCAAGATATTTAACACAATAAAAACTTAATGTCTATATGTCCCTATAAATTCATAACGCCATGAAACAGCTCATTCGCTGTACATGAGGAGGCATTTTAAACAACCGTCACGACCGATTGAGATTGCTGCTGTTCGGTGTATTGAGAACTTTCAAAACGAAATTTTTTTGAACATATTAAAATTCTGTGTTGAAAAGAATTTTTTAAAGCTCAATGTTTACCTTTTTCAAAAGTTCACAGACTCCATTTATTAAAATAAAATTACATGTGCACTTGTTCAATTCAGTCAGTACGGTTCAGAGCTTCTTGTTATCATTTATTAATAAAATGGCAAAGATCTAGGTGAACCGCCCTCTTGTCAATAACCGAAAAATAAATTGTAAAAATAAAATGATTTCAACATGAATAATTTCCGTTTTCTGCATGTAAAGAATTTTGTTGTTCTATAAGACTTTAAACAATATAGCTCTACGTGCAAGCAGACCATTTTTTAATTATTACAAAAATGAACAACACATTACAATATTATTAGTCGTACAACAAAGTTTAATTCTATGATGCGTCTTAGGAAACTGCATAACAAATTACACGTAAATTTACTAATAAATTTATTTGACCTCAAATAATAAAAACTATACATCTACTTACATACGTGTGAACAAAAAGATTTCTTGTATACAGAAATAAAACTCACCACAGAGTCTGCGAAATCCGTCATATAGTTATAGACAATACCATAAAACAAAACTAAAGGAAGAAGGGCGACCCCGGGTTTTAAATAGCTAGCTTTACCTATTAATTTCACCTAGAAATAAGCCTCTATCATGTGTATATATTGTTTATGTTTCCAAAGGTATGCATTAAACAAGAGCAAGTTCTAATCAAATACGATCGCTAAGCAGAATACAGACAACAAGTTGATGTCTCAGGGCTTTCTTCAACCACGTTGGCATTTCTATGTTTGCTATATTGACCTTGTTCGGAAATATACTCAATCCCTAAATTATACCTTTAATTATACGTATAATTATTTCCCATTTGATGCAATGTTTTATTCAGAATTTTCATAAGGTATCCTCTTAAAGGTACTTGGACACAGATTTGAAGTTATTATTTTCTCTATAATATTACGACTTATATATTTTAATAGCATTTCACACAAAAATTAATTAAAAATCTTATTTCGTTTAAAAGATATTGAAATTTCAAATTTTTCGGCGGGTTTGATTGACATATCCTTGCACTCTCACAAATTTAATTTTCTTATTAATCTCTTGGAAAAGTTGGAATCTCGTTTTGTATAAATGAAGAATATTAATACTATAATCCAAAAAAATTCAGAGTAGACACGTTCGAAAGCAAAACAAACACACAATATATTGTCAGTCCGTGCAGTTGTGGTAAGCAGACTGTGACGATTGAACGCACCCTATGAATTCTAAATATAAACAATAACAGAACTCGAGCCCTGTTTACAAAAACTGTGTACATAACACGAGTGTGCTCGATTTGCTAAACTCTGTACGCATCTCTTAGTTCGGTATGACGATACTTGTGAAGGTGTTTTGCTTTCTAAAATTTCTACTCTGAATAAAATTATTTTTCTTGATAAAAGTTTTAATATTTCTCATTAAAACACATCAAAATTGCCACTTTTCCTAAGGATTAAGAATAAAGTTAAAATTTGTGAAAGTGCAAGGATGTGTCAATCAAACCCGCCAAAAAATTTAAAGTTTTAATAACTTTTAAATGAAATAAGATTTTTAATTAATTTTTTGTGTGAAATGCTATCAAAATATATAATTCGTGATATTATACAGAAAAAATGAGAAAACATTAACTTCAAATCTGTGTCCAAGTACCTTTAAAAGAATCCCTGTGTTGAATCTCTAAGATTAGAAAAAAAAATCATTAATAAATAAGAGATAAAAACAAATCATTAATGAATAAGAGATAATCTTTTAAAAGAAATCTATATATGTACATATCATATGGCAGTGAGTGATAACAATGAAAAGAGAATACACAAATCCATTTCTAAATAGTACGTATTTAATCCGTCTCCTGAATAAAATTGAATTATTAGGCCTGATCTCGAATTTTCTCGAATGCTCGAGCGACCTGTAATACAGTACTTTCCTCAAACATTCTGCCCACTATCATCATTCCACAAGGTAGTCCGTCAATGAAGCCTGCGTTTAAGGTGAGAGCGGGGTGTCCTGTGGCATTGAAGGGGGCTGCATTATTCCCTGTCAATTTATGACCTTTCAGGGTTTCTAAAAGAAAGCAGATTCAAAAATTGAAAGCTACCTTCTTCTTACCTATATTGAAGAGTGTGGCAAATTAAAAAAAAAACAACATATTTTCAGTATGTTGTTATAACTTTCAGTTGAAAAAAGTATATGATTGCAATATAAATCTCTACATTCTAATTTGATACTCACTCATAATGACGTCTTGGAATTTGTAAATAAGTGTTCACATTACATGTATGTGTGCATAAATCCCTTCCTCATATACTGTTTACGTATATGTATATAATACATTATTTTAACTCTCTCTCTCTCTTTTAATCCCTCTCTCTCCAGTAAATGTTAATTTTGTCTATAGATTCATATTAACTGTTGGACTATTAACCTTCAATTGATGTGTCGGTAGTCGGGAGTTTCGATGGCATCTTCGGCACTGTAGGCATAACTAGGACGTCATAATCCTTCAAAATTCTGTTATATTCCATCGTCAAATATTTGACCAAGTTCTGACTTTTCGAGTAAAATTTATTTTGGTAATCTTTCTGTATATACTCTGAAAAGAGCATGATGATTTTAACAGGCAGGGGACAGTCAAACGGACGAAGATTAAAAGCACCTGCCAGCTTTTCTTGTAGTGGGAGGTTGTGTGTTCCTTTCCAACCATATCCATGACCTTACAAAACAACTTTTATAATTAAATACAAATTTACTATTGAAAACATCATCGTTTAAACTTTAAATCTTTATATTCATGAAATCATATCATTTGAAGAAGATAAAATATGTGAAACGTAACAATTGAACAAAATATTACTTTCTTTGATGCTTGTTTAAAATGATAAATTTTAATTAAAGACTTGAATTAGTATTTATTAATTTCATTAACGACATAATGTTTAATAATACACATAATCACACAAAAATGTAAATACCATTTCCTTTCACCATAGTTTGGTATGTTCCCTCAAAAGCAACTGGTGTCCATATTGCTAAACCTGTACAAATCATGCAAGCATTGTTCATATTTCTAAGAACTCGGGGGCGGGGGTTGTGTGTTAAAATCACGCAATAAAACTGATGAAACCAGAAGTCTCTGTCAAGACTGTAGCTCTACTAGTTTGTACTTACAATAAAGAAAGAGAAAAGTAGCAGTAAAGACTATTTTGAATGAATTTCACAGAAAATTCTATTTTTAGTAACCACGGCAACACCGTTCGTCGAAATCAAAAATCGATATACAGAATTATGTATCTAAGTGTAGTCTATTTGTGTGCCAAGTTATATTGAAATCAGACTTAAACTGTAGGAGAAGTAGCATTTTGAATGTTTTTTCAAAAAATTTCTATTTTTAGTAACCACGGCAACACCGTTCATCGAAATCAAAAACCGCTAAACAGAATTATGTATCTTAGCGTAGCCTACTTGTTTGCCAAGTTACATTGAAATCAGACTTAAACTGTAGGAGAAGTAGCATTTTGAATGATTTTCACAAAAATTTCTATTTTTAGTAACCACGGCAGCGGCGTTCGTCAAAATCAAAAACCGATAAACAGAATTATATATCTTAGTGTAGTCTACTTGTGTGCCAAGTTATATTGAAATCAGACTTAAACTGTAGGAGAAGTAGCATTTTGAATGATTTTCACAAAAATTTCTATTTTTAGTAACCACGGCAACACCGTTCGTTGAAATCAAAAACCGATAAACAGAATTATGTATCTTAGTGTAGTGTACTTGTGTGCCAAGTTATATTGAAATCAAACCAAAACTGTAGGGGGAGTAGGGTTTTGAAAAATTGTTTATAGAGGGACAGACAGACGGACGACGGACACATTATTATCGCATAAGCTATTCTGGTCTCTGACCAGTAGAGCTAAAAATGAATGTTTCAACAAAAGATTGGGTCAGATGGTTACTTATATTCAGTATAAACCAATTTTACCCTCATTATGGATTGGGAGAGAGACTTCGTGTACTTTCGCACCAGCTTCCCTGAGTTTATAGGCAGCATCCCTTACAATATCTGCCAAACCTTCGTCCACTTCTTCAAACCCCTCCTTCAGAAGAGCTATCTTCTTACCGTTTACCCCATTATTGCACTAAGATATACAATAACATACACAGTATCGAGAAGTTCAACTTAATCTTAGAAGAAAGTCTACAAATTACACAAGGTTTTCGTATCCATTTTTATGATGTCTGATTTGTAATATCTCTTACTTGGTATTTTAATTCAAATGATAAAACAGTATAAGCAAAGACGCAGTATGTTCAACATTTGTCGTTTTCTTAACCCATAGTTTTTCCATATGCATAATTCAGTTTTTGTATTTTATGCTAATATAAATATAAGGTTCATGTACATACTGACCAACTTTGAATAGGGGTGAGTCGGTATGGTTGGGAATTGTCTTGGATCATTGCCTTCGTCATATCCAGCAATCACCTGAAAGTCAAAACCATTGTTAATGAAGACTAGTAAATAAAAAATAAAGATGTTTAATCTATACATTACTAAAATAATCAAGACAGAAACCTCTAAGAGAGTAGCACAGTCCTCCACCGTCCTGGCCATCGGTCCAGCGTGATCCAGAGTGACTTCTATCG